TAGCTCTTGTTGTATATCTCTCGTCCTCTGGGCTTCTCTTGGGCCATGGGGTCGATCCACTCATATCTTGCATTCTTCTCTCTGTCATCTTCCGGTTTGGGAGCGAAATGTTTTTCTTTTTTTGTGGGGGGGTTGTATCCGGAGATGTAAGAGACATCAACAAAAGGATTTTTTGCCTAACTCTTTTATTCAACACGTCGATGTGTACATTTCTAACTAGCTAGTTGGGTTGCTATCCCACCCTACTGAAGAAATTCACACATCTACATTGTTTGACATGTAAGAACCAATTCCCTGAAATCCCTTTATATATATCTATCATTCCCACGCTAGTGTTAGCCAATCAAAATCGACTTTCTTTGTTTTCCTGTCTCTGTACTCAAAGCTCAAAATGAGGAAGAAATAGAATTCAGAGCAGAAATACAATTCTCTAAAAAAATAATTGCTTTCTAAACTATTATTTAACATTCTCTCTCTCTCTCTCTCTCTCTCTATATATATATATATATATAATTTATATAATTACTAATCTACTTTTTGTTTGAATGATTCATTGTAATATAAATTGAACTGCACCACATATTTGATTTAAAAGAACTGATCCGACGTGCTTGAAGTGTTCGACAACGAGTGCCTTCGCTGCATTCTACGATGCCGCCGAATCGATCGTGTGCCCACAACCACTCTACGTCGTCGCCCTGAGTCTCCGTCCTCTTCCACCCGTCCTGCTCCGGCGTCGTCTCCGATGGTTCGGGCACGCAGCTCGACGCCCGGAGGGAGAGCTCATCCATGATGTACTTCTCCCTCCTTCTCTTTCTGGCTGGTTAAAACGTGTCGGTGGCAGGCAGCTGAGGACGTGGGATAGCACAATCAAGGATGACCTAGCAGTACTATCGGGTCCACAAGTAGTTGGTCTTCGACGATGGAATCGCGATTGGCTCGCCATTTCGTGTGACCTGGCTCAGGATCAGCGAGCGTGTTTAGCGATGGCCCGTGATGCTGTACTTGCTCGGGAGGAAGCCGGTTCAACCCGACCAGGGTGAAAAGTGAAAACCAATACAAGTCAAAAAGTAAGCAAAATTTCGGGATAACAACTGAGACATTACTCAACTTATTGAACAATTCAGTTCATGCCACATTGACTGATAAACTCCTACAACAACAAAAATTCTCAAATTGCCATATTAGTAAAAAAAAAAAAAAAAAGTACTCCCTTAAATTTAAAAAAAAAATCAACCTTAGCGTTGCGACTGCACGCTCCAAAAGTTTGTATCTGTTAACAATAACACATTTAAAAAAAAACAAAAAAACATTTCGATTCGCATTTAATTTTTTCGTCTCGCATGCTACCTGAATTTTACCAAAAAACAAAATAATTTCCATGCCTGAGGATGACTGAATGTACAGTCGAAAGTACTTGCGAAAGACCATATACAGTTTATAATTTTTAAAAACAAGGATCATAACATGCATCGAGTGTTTAGTAGGTTAATCCACCTTTTGTTTGCGAAAGGATTTCGCCATTTTATATCATTAACTTTACTAATCTACTTTTTGTATGATTCAATGTAATATATATATATATATATGTTTTTGTACGAATGATTCATGCAATTGTAAATTGAACTGTACCTTTTACTTGAAATTAAAATAACTGAACCAACGTTCAACTTTCGGATAATAACTGTGACATTCCTGTAATTATTGAACAATATAGTTTATGCCACATTGACTGTAAAACCCACCAGTACAAAAGAATTCTCCTAATACTATATTAGTACAAAAACGCACAAATTTAAAAAATTCAAACTCAGCGTTGCGACCGCACGTTCCAAAACAATAACACATTTCTCATAGCATTTTTTCGGATTACATCTCTATTTTCGTTGTCCTCTTATTACCGAGAAGTAAAAAACAAGAACAAATCTATTTCCATACCTCATGATGTCTGTATGCACAGATAAAAGCTTGTAAAAAATTAAAAAGACCTTATCCAGCTGGAATTTATAAACAGGGATCATATCATTCATATACAGGTTCGGGGTTGGTGTATCTTATTTATATTGTTTGCGAAGATGTATTCTCGCCATTTATATCATTAACTTCTATATCTGTTTTTTGTACGAATGATTCATGTAATTGTAAACTGAACTGCACCTTTTACTTGAAATATATATATATATATATATATATATATATATATATATATATATATATATATATATATATTTTCAATTGTTAGATTAAGCTTTGAACCGTTGTATCTTAGAAATGATTAAAGATATCTAACTGGATTTCTCCAAGATTTTTATAATTTTAAACAATAAGAATGTATAATTACTCTCCAAGCTTAACAGAAGAATCGTGATGACATCGATCATAAACGAAAATGACATGTTCATCATTAATTAATCATAGTTAAGGATCGGAAGCTCATGAAGGATTTAAATAAAGTTCATATATATATATATATAATTCCAGGATAATTTTCCAACTAATTCAAGAGGATCTTTGCCCTCTCTAACCTTTTAACTTTCTGTCCTGGAATAACAAGATGCTTCACAGGTTTTCCGTAGGATTTCATTTACAAGTCTTTTTTCACTGCTCTTTGGACTGTCATAGCTGAAACTCCTCTCTCACGTGCCAAACGTCTTATGGATTGAGTTTGATCTTTTCTAATTGACCACTTTAGCTCTATGTTGAAATCATGATCATCCTTTCCTTCATAATCCTTTCAGTGGTCTTGCAGCGCCCATCTCCTCTCCAATTTATATAGGGCCTGGATTATCCAAGTCATCCAGGCCCTATATAAAGATGTCACCAGAGTAGTTCAGGGAAAATAAATGGGAGGATTCTTCCGGAAAACTGTCGGCGTGCGGCAGGGATGCGTACTTTCACCCACATTGTTCAACCTATTTCTAGAGAGAATCATGCAAGAACCCCTAAACGACCATGATCATTAAATCTCTATCGTTGGTAAACCCGTCTGTAACCTACGTTTTGCAGACAATATTGACCTCATAGCTGATAGTAATAGTGAGCTCCAGGCCTTGACCAACAAACTTTTTGAAAGAGCAGGAGCATATGGAATGGAAGTCAGGTCCGAGAAAATTAAAGTAATGATGAATAGCACAAACAGTAACAGCTGTGTCAAAAATTACCATGAACGGGAAGTGCCCAATTTTAAATACTTGTCTAAAGATGGTATCTGCAGCTTGGAAATCGGCTCACAGATTGCCGCAGCAGTAACGGCGATGGCTAGATTGGCAAAAATATTGAGGAACAAAATCAACTTTTAAACGAAGTACAGACTGTAAAAATCGCTGGTAGTCCTATATGGATGTGAGACGTGGACACTGTTGGCAGAAACAGAGAGACGGATCCAAGCATTTGAGAACAAATGCATGAGAAAACTCCTTGATATTTTTGTTATTGGAAACAAAAAAAGCAATGAGTTTGTGTGGAAAAGGGTTGAAAGTTTTGTGGGCTGCCAGGAACCTCTTCTCCCTAGTCAAATAGAGAAAAATGATCGTGTGTGGCATGACGGTCTTTGGTATATCCTTAGAGAATTCATTGTAGATAACAGAATTATCCAAGTCATCCAGGACGTATATAAAGATGCTACCAACGCAATTCTTCTGGAAATCAAATGGGATGATTCTTACAGACAACTGTTGGCATGTGACAGGAATGCGTACTTTCACCTACATTGTTCAACCTATTTCTAGAGAGAATCATGCAAGAACCCCGAAACGACTATGATCATTAAATCTCTATCGGTGGTAAACCCGTCTGTAACCTACGTTTTGCAGACAATATTGACCTCATAGCCGGTAGTAATAGTGAGCTCCAGGCGTTGACCAATAACTGTTTGAAAAAGAAGGAGCATAAGGAATGGAGGTTAGCTCCGTGACATTCTAAGTAATGGTCAATAATACAAACAGTAACACCTGTGTCAAAAATTACCATGAACGGGACTTCACTGGAGGAATACTTAGGAGCAATCTTGCCTAAAGATGATATCTGCAACTCTGAAATTTGTACACGGATTGCCGCAGCCATGGCAGCCATGGCCAAATTGACAAGAATAAGGAGGAGCAAAATTAGCTTTCAAACAAAGTCCTGACTGTACAAATCACTGGTCGTCTCCATTCTCCTGTATGGGTGTGAAACATGGACACTTCGCAGTAACAGAGAGAAGGATCTAAGCGTTTGAGTACAAATCCATGAGAAAACTCCTTGGCATCTTCTGCTGGGAACATAAAACCAACGCGTTTGTGCAGAAAAGGGTTGAAAGTTTTGTGGGCCACCAGAAACCTCTTCTCGCCACTGTCAAACGGAGGAAAATGGCGTGGTTTGAACACCATACAAGTCACGACAGCCTGTGCAAGACCATCATGAAGGTGGATGTAGGAGAGGACGCCAACGTAAAAACTGGTTGGACAATGTCAAACAATGGACAGGTATGACTATACCAGAATTGCTGATGGACCGTCGTGGAGGAGATTCAATATGGCTTCTACATTCGGGTCCCCCCCCCCGCCTACGATTACAAAAGTCAAGGAGATTATAATGATGGTGGTAGTGAAATGATGTTGTGACCTCCTGATGCAGTTTTCATCTCTACTGTTGGCTCTTTTTTAAACTTATTCACTGTTCTCTTTATGATTCTTGAATGGACTTTGAAGATGGAAGCCAGAATATGAATGTTGGTACCATTACTGAAGGCCTGAATGATTTTTTTTCTTATCACCATTGCTCGGCAAGGAAGAAAGTGGAACTGACACAAAACGATTTTAAGCTCTTCTCTTTCCAGCTGAATAACTTAAAGGGTTTTTCAGCAAAAAATGTGTCAAGATGGCTTAACGGCTTATCTGAAAACCCTGAAAAGAGGAACTCAATTAATTTAGTGCATTTTTTTTTTGGGGGGTCAGATATTAAATATTTTGTGGGATGGACAATTATGCTGTAACACGATTTGGACAATTTTGCAGTTGCACCCGGGATAGATAGATAGATAGATAGATAGATAGATAGATAGATAATTTTCAGCTCTGATTGATAGATACAGATGCATATGTATTTGACTTGATCAGCATTCCACTAGATAGATAGATAGATAGATAGATAGATAGATAGATGTCTTGTGAAACAGCATTCGTGCATATAATTTATGTGTGTGTCATAATTCTAGTTTGTCTATGCGGCATTCGGATGATAATGTATATGTGCGCGCGCGTGTGTGTGTGTCTAGTAAGCACGTTTATTTATATTTGGTGAAGGTTGTCTGCATGTTGATCTAGAGATGATTTTACGTAACACCGGTTGTAGTTGTAGTTGTAATCGTAAGGAGATACATCTTACATTCTTTACACATGGATGTTATAAAAGTCGGTGATATAATATAGTGTTTAACGTGTGTTTATGGATGTTACACAACTGGTTTTACGTAAAATTATCTCCAAATCAACATGCAAACAACCAGCCCCAAAGATAAATAAAAATGCTTATTAGACACACCCACAGACACACAGATTATCATCTGAATGCCGCATTGATAAACTAGAATTATGAAACACTTACACACATAAATTATATACATAAATGTTGTTTCACAAAACAAATATCTATCTCTTAGGTTGGTGCAAAAATAATGACGTAATAATGTCGTTTTTGACGTTAAAAATATGTCACAAAACGACATTATTACGTCATTATTTTTGCACCAACCTAATATCTATCTATTTATACCGGGTGTAACTACAAAATTGTCCAAATCGTGTAACCAGTTTTGTTTACGGATGGGGCGACATTTGGAAGAGATGGAATAACAAATTTACAGAACCAACATTTGTGGGTGGATCGGAATCCCCATGGTATGATACAGGCTAGACACCAGCATCTGTTTACGGTTAATGTGTGGGCTGGAATTGTACATGACTGTCTTGTAGGTCCATAGCACGCCTTACATAAACTGTCTACAGGGACTTTATATCGGACACACTTCCCGGTCTGCTAGAGGATGCACTCCTGCTAATAGGAAGACGCATGTGTTTCATGCATCATGGTGCACCAGTATATTTTAGTCACATTGTTCACGATTCACTGGCTGACATCTGCCATGAAAGATGGATAAGGAGGGGAGGACTGGTTCCATGGCATGCACGTCTCCCCCACCTCCTACCTCAATCCATTGGGTTTTTATCTGTGCGTCCACCTAAGACTATTGGTTCCTGCAGCAAACATTAATTATGCACAGACCCTTCATCAACGTGTCATGGGGGCCTGCGAAATCATTCGACACCATGTGGGAGTATTTGTAAGGATCCACCAGTCAATGATCCGACGGGTGCATGTTTGTGTAGAAGCAAGCGGAGGACATTTTTTAACATTTGTTATGACAACAACTATAAAAACCAACTGAAAATTAACCCTGCAGCCGTCTTCATTATTTATTATGTTATTTGAATTTTCACTAGTGGAAATGTTCTTTGTCCTTTTGCAGCACGGTTCAACAGCAACTTGATTCAGTGCTCAAGTATGGACGAAATTTGATCTTCACTCTTCTGTGATCAAGGAACAATGTGGGGCAGGGCAGATGAAAGAATGAAGCAGCCAACAGATAACCATCAGTTGACCGACAGCAGTACTGATCAGTGTGGGAAGGACCCAGGATCAAGCTGGGCCAGTCGTGTTATACAGGCTCCACTAAATCCCCTTCTGCCCCCACCTAGCCTAGAATTAAGATGATTAGCGGTTCCTTGGATGCAATGCAAGTTGGTAAATCTAATGTATATATATATATATATATATATATATATATATATATATATATATATATATTTCCACCATTACTTATTAAGAATATTGGACACCTGTAGTACAAAACTATTTACTGTAAATTCCAGAAAAACACACTCAGGGCCTGTATAAAAAACGCCACATAGTATGAACTGATATTAAACTACAAACAACAAAGATTGTGGCCATAAATAAACTCCAACCCCAGACCGCTTCCCCCAGGATAAGATATCTTACGCTCCCGCCAAACGCTAACACAAGGCACCCACTAGAAGAGGACTGACATTGAAAATAAACTTAAAACAATACTCCGAGACAGACACTTAGGGGCTGATGATAGCCACGCACAGAACAGCCTGAAATAGACTATACTCTATGTTGAGGTAAATTTAGGGTTTTTTTCCTGTAAAAAAATATATATGTTCTGTTATAATAAATACATCGATCTCTCTCTGGATCAGTTTTAAAAATTAATATTACTAGGATCTATCCGGATTATATACCAACAGATTGATTACCTGTATTATATATATACTAGCAGCATGGCCCAGCGTTGCCCGTGCTTGATTCAAAAATAGTACGACTAATACAGCAATCGCTATCACTTGACTTAAAATATTTTTGCCCTTCCTTGCCTTTAGAGGAGTGCCCTTTGCCGTGCTGATGTTGTTACATGCCTTACTTCTTGCCTATATCACACTGCCAATTTTTTCTAAGCTCTATAGTAAACATTAAATCTGTTATGAAAAAAGAACTAAACAAAATAAATACAATACGATCAGCTTTAAAAAACCGGAAAAAACATTTTTAAGGGCTGACCGATTGTCGATTTGCACTCTGTTTGGGGGAGGGTGCTCAGCATTGAAACTTCACATGATGACTCCCAATGGCCTCTTCATAAATCCGGTCGGTTTTCGCTAAAAACCGACATGCGGTTCAGACGCAATCTGGTCGTATCGGTTTTTGGGTTTTATCGATTTTCCACACTGTTTAGGGGTCCGTGGTCATGAAACTTCTGGGCAACACTTCTAATGGTAGACTCTAAGAGGGGGTCAAATTTGGTTGAAATGCGATCATTCCTTCTGTATGCAGAATTTTTTTCGATTATCGATTTTTCGAACCTGATTCCTAACTCAAAAATCGGGTCCGTCATGTCCTTACGGCAGCAATTTGCAAACTTGTGTTAAAAACCGATCGAAATCGGGTGAGAAATGCGGCCTGGGCGAGGTAACAACAGACACACAGACAGACAACATGAGAAATATATATATATATATATATATATATATATATATATATATACATGTATTTGGTTGGATAGATGTGAGTTTGTGACCCTGGGTTTCACGCTTTAGCGATCGTCAGACAAACTGATTAATGTTTTAAAAAAATTGGGTTTATGTAGATTGCGTGTATTGGTGTTATTGTGGAAGTGGTGGGGGAAATTTCGTCGTTTTGTCATTCATCGTACTAACGCAAACGTCGATGTATGCAGACACATATACACACTTGGTCGTCCGTCGGGACTTATACATATATAAACATATGTGGGCAGTTTCGGCTATGACACATGTATGTATACGGGTGGTGTTATATCTATACATACGCATTTGTATGTTGAAATGTTGAAATTTAAACATTCGAAGTGTGGCGGAAATGTCTCAATCACAACCTTTCATTCAACAACAGGAAATATTCGAACAGCACAACACTTTCTACATACATATGGCAGCAAAAAGACAAAAACATCACACCAACAATAAGTTGGGAAATATTGAAAAAAGCCCCTGCCTACAACAACATTACGAAAAAATGCCTACTTTGCCTACACGAAAAAGTAGCAATAATATCACACAAACTGCAAAAGAACTTACTAAACAAAAATCAGAGATAATCTCCAAATGTAGGCATGAGAACAAATACCTATTATCCAAATTCATACCAAACGGATAAAACAGACAAACCACCAACAATCACAATTTAATTTCAAGATACTATCAAAATAATTGCATCTATCATTATTATAATTACACCACCATTAGTAATCACTTTTACTACAATACCTTTTAACTAACAATATTATCATTACCACCAACACACAGCACCATCACTTACACATCACACCCACTATTAACATATAAATCCACTACAATCTTTATTACTCCCCCAGCATATTTAATACCTTAAAACAATATGATCAGATATAATTTCCATATGTAACCATGAGAATAAACACCTATTACCAGGCAGCTTTAATATAATAACAATAATAATTTTGTAATTAAAAATTAAAAATTATAACAATCTTCAACTACCATAATTTTACACAGAATACCTATTATCAGGATTTATACCAAAATAAATTAATACATATAACAAAATAAAACAAAACTAAAATAAAATACCAACAACCACTTTTTAGTTCAAGCTACCACCACTATAACTACATTCATGGTTTTATCATTCTCCCACCACCGTTACTAATCATTTCTACCAATTTACAATTTCTACCAATTTACAATTTCTACCAATTTACAATAAATATTAGCTAACTATCATTGTCTCCAATCCCTTGAAACATTACTATCACATCATATCATATAGACCCGTTATTAAATTGAACTACCCTCTCACCCAGAACATTAAATATTAAACTAAACATCACCATATAAATTATCCAATAAAGATTACAAATTTCTACCTGTTACATATACACAATCACCAAAAACAAACAAATAACCAGCTTTAAATATAACATATAACCCCCCATTTTTTTTCAAAAATTTAAAAATAAATATAAATAATAATAATTTTTACCTATCATAATTTTACACAAACCCCACCACACATATATACATACATGCGAGGAAATATTTTTCAGCGCGAAAACACTTAATATGACATGTATACAGTAACGAGACATTTCTGCCACACTTCGAATGTTTAAATTTCAACATTTCAACATACAAATGCATATGTATAGATATAACACCACCCGTATACATACATGTGTCATAGCCGAAACTGCCCACATATGTTTATATATGTATGAGTCCCGACGGACGACCAAGTATGTATATGTGTCTGCATACATCGATGTTTGCGTTAGTACGATGAATGACAAAACGACGAAATTTCCCCCACCACTTCCACAATAACACCAATACACGCAATCTACATAAACCCAATTTTTTAAAAACATTAATCAGTTTGTCTGACGATCGCTAAAGCCTGAAACCCAGGGTCACAAACTCACATCTATCCAACCATATATGTTATCTCTATCTCTGATATTGAGCGCTTTCTAATAAGTACCGCGCATATAATATATAAATAATTATACATACTTATATTTATTTATATTTATATACACTTTTCATATATATATATATATATATATATATATATATATATATATATATATATATATATACACACACTATTCAGCCGGTCTTATGTGAAATCCTATGACTTTGGGCCACTTTTCAGCATTAGGGACATCTGGTTTTTAGATAATTGAAGAATCTTGTGAACTTGAGATTAAATGCAAGAAAGCAATCATACACCAATGTCTGATGTTCATTTACCAAGAATTTGTGGGCAGGGTACAGTCAAGTATTTACATTTTAATGGACACGCTAACTTACTAATAGAGGAATGAACAGAATTGAAATATGATTATTGATATGATTGAATTATTGAATTTTAATGATTTCTTTCAATTTAAGAAAATCATTTTTCCTTTTCATGGCATCTGTGAAAAAATTGCAGTCAATGAAAATTACACATTAGAAAGAACGACATATTGAATAAAAAGCGCATGTTTATTTTCAAATTTTAATTCTAATTTATTTGCGTTCCTCTAAAGGAAGGGAGATGCAAACATCTCGTGTCATGACCAACAGCCATTGGTTCCAACTTTAGGTTTTAGGCGTCAAGGGCCTAAGGTGGAGTGTAGCACTTGGTGTGAGGCCGCAATCCTGAATTGTGGCAATGTCATCGCTGAGGACTTTACGAGGAAAGGTGGACAGAATCTGGTAGGCTGGTGAATTGTCAGAATCCCTGCAAGGAGTAAAGTAAATAATAATAAATTTACAATCTTATTTTAGGCTATCAGCTTCCAACAAAATTATATATTCAGTCAGGAAACAACATCCTTGACTGATGGTTTACTGTATACTTATATATATATATATATATATATATATATATATATATATATATCCGACTCTTTTATTGTTGGAATAGTTAAATGTAACCAGTACTTCTAGTCCAACAGTTTATTTTCTTGCACTTCCTACCAGTGGAACTCTCTTCCATTTATTTGCTTCCCTGATAAATACAATCTTCAAACATTTAAATTCAATGCCAATCGCCATCTTCTATCTTCTTGAACCTCGTTCATCTTTTATCCTTTCCTTGATTCCTCTTAACCAGTTTTTTTTCTCCCACCTTCATTCTCTGTAAACCACTGCAAACCAGTGTCTTTGCCACTTTGCTTGTGGTGAAATGATGAAAGGAAACAAAAGATATGGCAACAGTATTCAATGCACAGATAAATGATAGATTTGTAAATGTGCAAGATGGATTCGGACAAGAAGGATTTTATGGCACAACTCAGTGAACCAACCTTACAGTAGACGTAGCAATTGATATATATATATATATATATATATATATATATATATATATTTACTCCATGCGCATTAAAATTTGCACTATACCTACATGCAAGCCATTATTGGCCCACTCATGGGCCGCAATGGCAATGCCAGCGGTCCTCAGTTGGCAGTCACACATGGGCCACTGGTTGGCCTCTTGTGGTCCGCAAGTGGTAACATTGCCACGATGAATACATTGGTAGTCTGACAGTGGGTCACTAGTGGTAAATTATAGTGGCATGCTACCCACTGGCAGATTGGTGGCTTGCGTGTAGGAATGACATTTAAATTGAACATCTGTAAACTATTTTGCTTTCATTCAAGATAATCAGTATGAAGAAAAGCAATTCCAATTTAATAAAAAATCCAGAACCTAAAATATTAAACTGAATATGAATCCTCGGCAATTTGATGTCAAGAAATGGTAAAATTTTGTATCTTTGATTCCCTATAACCTCTGCAAAGTAATCATTCACCCTACAAGGATTTGTTGGTCCATGCATTGTTATGATTTTCATCTTGCTTCTTTGCAAATAACTTCTTTTATATACCATGTCCCTTCAGGGCATGGCCGTTCATGGCACGCCAGTATTTCCTGTCTTTTGAAACTGTATATATGGATTCTCATATTAATATGTCTACTAATCCTTGTTCTGCCATCCATTTACATTAGGTAATTTCAAGAACTGATAATATTAAATAGGATATAATTGTTGGTAATTGTTGCTGCAAAATAATCATTATTTGTTGGTCCACGTACTGGTTTGATTTTCATCTTGCATCTTTATCACATAATTTCTACAGGGTTTATGGTTGAGATGCAAGAGCATAATAGCACTCCAGTGAATGCTAAACAATCACTTTAAAGATGAAGAAGAGACTTGAAGCAACAAAGATGTGGTTCTAACAATGAATGCTAAGAATACAATGGGCAGAATATGTGAGCCATAGGGAAGTCTTCAAGAAAATTCATAATTATAATTACAACTAGAGTTGTCTCATTCTGGTTGTAATTATCATTATTTACTTGAAGACTTCCTTATGTCTAGGAAACGCAATTAGGAAAGAAGGCTGAGAGAATTTAACACTCAAAAGACATATTAAAGAGAACCAGGAGGAAACAGAGAGTAACTACTTTTTTTTAATCATTTCACCCCAGTTAAGGTGATAATGTCACTAAGATGCAACAGGTTTACTGGGAGTGTAAGATAATAAGAAAACTTTAGTGAGGAAAACACGATTCCGGAAAACATGAGATTAGATTGACACTGCATTTAAATTTTTGAAAATTGTGTGTAGCAGGGAAGCAAGAAGAGCATTCCACAGGTGAGATGCATGAGAAAAGAAACTAGTAAAATAGTACTTACAGCAGGGGCGGACTGAGAGTACTACCGGCCCTCGGACCAAAAATGCAATAGGCCCCATTTCCCAATTTTTTACAGTTAAATGCCACATATAGAGGCTGTGCAGCAGGTGATCTGTGCATATTGGCTTAAATAAGAAAAAACTTTAGTCTAAGATTAGTGTTGGGACGATTCCTAATTTTTTTCCGATTCCAATACAGATACCGATTCCAGGAAAATGTTGATTCACGATTCCGATACCAAGACGTTTCCGATTCCAATTCCGATTCCTTGCCTACTTAGGTTCTACCTGTATGTGTAGGGAACCCCAATTTTCAGCGATCACGGGAATCAATTACGGGAATCGATCATGGGAATTGCGGAATTGTTTTGAAACGGAAGCTGGGAACCAGGTTTGAACTTACCAGTCCCAAAAAACAGAGACATTTTTTTTCTGCGTTCATTCGTAAGGTTTCTTTGTTTTCTTTTACTTTCTTTGTTTTTCTTTCTTTCTTCACAAATTTAGTTTGATTGCTAACAAAGATACTTTTCCTTCTCCAAATTTTCATTTTTGCACGGTCACGGATCTGCCTGTACTTGTGTCCGGCAGTCCGCACGGCCATGAGAAACACACACATGGCAGGCCCCTTTACAGTGCCGGGCCCTTGGACCAGGTCCGAGTGGACCGATGGCTCAGTCCGCCCCTGACTTACAGTTACCTCTAGATATTTTAACAGTAAAACAATGAAACTTAGGACTCATGCAGTCAAGGTAGCAAGGAGGAGAGCTCATTAGAACAACTGCCATGAAAATATTTATAGAAAAGACAGAGAGAAGTCACATTACAGATATGTCAAAATGACCAAAGTTGAGATGCCAGATCAGGACTGTTAACATTACAGACCCTTCTTTGGATTTTGCCAAGAATTTCAATATATACAGGTAGAATACCAGATCAGATATGGTAGCAATATTCAGTGCATGGACAAATGGTAGACTTATAAATGTGCAAAATGCATCTGACAAGAAAAATTCTCTGGCATGATATAATGAACCAAATTTCCTAAGAGTTGAATCAAAAAAACAAGTTTGTGTGAATGAATGGCAGAATGGCTTGTTAATTTTAACACCTCTAATACAAAACTGGCCTCCATTAATCATCTGAAAGATCTCTATCTACCTTCCCACAGTATGGTTGATTCTAACCTCCAGAAGAGTAACTCCTTGCACCTTCTCGGGCAAACATTCTCAGATGACATGAAGTGGAAAAACTATATTGGATCCATTGCTAGGTCTGCGGCGAAGAAAGTTGCTTCATCGTGTCGTGCTAGACAATTTGTCTCTCCAGAATCTATTTTACATATCTAAACGTCTACCATTTGCCCAGGCTTAGATTATTGCTGCCATATATGGTTTGGTGCTCCAGATATATATTTAGAGATTCTTGAGAAAATCCAAAGGAGAATTAACAATATTCCTTGTCTTGACATGGCATCTCAGCTTCAGTCAATTTCCCACTTACATAAAGTTGTGTTCCTGTGACTTTTCCATAAATACTTTCATGGCAACTGCTTGGATGAACACTTTGTAGAAGTGAGTCGGTTGGATTTACCTCTCAAATTTATATTTATGGAAAATACCACAAATTATGAAACAATAAGAACATTTATATTTATGTATGTAATAATATACAAGCATGATTAATAGGAGTTATTTCCCTTTGACTGGAATTAAACTCTTTACTAAAGAAATATTTTTATCTGAGCTCATAGAAAGTTGAATGAACTTGATGCTCAAAATGTTCGTTCTGTAATGTTTAATTAGTTTCCGTTGCTTGTAGTTGAATTTTCCTAATATATTGATGCTTGTAATGTTCATAATATTTGTAATTAAGTTTCCGTATGTATGTGTATGTGTGTGATGTTTTTATAGTGTCCACCCAAAAGAGGTTGGAACGTGACTTCTTAAACAACTACATTTTAGTAAGCAAGAGAATTCAAAAAGAGGAAGAAAGAACTTGTATCTGGTATTTATAATAAACATAATCACATGATCAGCTCCGGGAAGGCACAGACAGATTTTGGCTAAATTGTTTTTTCGTCAGGTCAAGAATTAGGTCGATTTTATTCAGATGTAATTGAGAGCATGATTTAAATATTAACTGACCAATGAGAAGTGAGAAAAATATCAAGGCTCTGTGATCCACCTTCTTGCACTGATTTTTGTAGTCGAAAACAAGTGGTAGCAGAATGCTATAACTTCACTATGGTACCTAATCTTTATGAATATAAGCACAGTACTAGATTAGTAGATCTCGTCAATTCTATATTTGAATTGACTAGATGTAACCTTAAGTTCTATGCTAACAGTTTCTTTCCTCACACTCCTTGTTTGTAGATCACTCTTCTAGTTCTATGCTTTCCAGCCAACTTTGATCTTTAAAAATTTAAATCTAATATCAATCGTTATCTACACTCTTCCTGGTTACTCTTCTATTGTTCTCAATCCTTAAAAAATGTTTCTGTTTTCTAATTCTTTCAAAATCAGTAACCCCTTCTGTCTTTGTGGCTTTACTGATTTGCCTGGGGGTGAATTTGATTTTTAGAAAAACGTGTCAAAATTTACTTTTTGAGTATTGATTTCCCATGGGTGGTGGGAATGATTGCAAATGTTTTCTCCTTCCTCCTGTTATTGTCAGAAGGATACAATGCATGGTGGGATATTTTTCTTAGCCAATAAAATGAAACAGCTTGTGTTTTGTCATGACTCCATCCAGATCTGCCTTAACTACTAAACAGATATATTCTGTTCACTTGGTCGACCTTGCTTTTTGTGTACAAACACCAACTCCTAGTTTGTGAATTCTTTTGCTTTCTTACCAATCTTGATTTGCTTTAACTATATTGTTTGCCTGCTTGCATGATTGTTGCTGTTTCATCCTTTTTGACCTTTTTCTTTTCATTGCAAACTTTATTAATTCTGATTGTGTTATTTATCTTGCACTTTAACAATCATCATAAACAAAATGCAGGGTGTTGTGGAGGGCCATTATCACTCACGTCCTGAAAGCATTTGGTGTATAAAAGGAGGTGAATATCTACAAAGGACTACTACTACTAATAATAATAATAATAATAATAATAATTTGCCTGAACAGCACAAAATTTTCATGTCAACACCACATGATCAACAAAGATTGAAAAAACCATCAATAAAATATACATCTCACCTCTGTTTATCTAAATATCTTCGAAGGTCACCTATGGTTTCGTGGGGTTTCATCTTCAGCACGTATGTATGCTCCCCATTCTCAGACTTGACTCTCAATGTTGCAACACTTTCTGGGATTTCTTGTCTTTGCAGATGGACATTCTGAAGTCTGAAGAAAGAAAACAGAAAAAAATCAATGAAAGAATGAAAGACATAGCATTGGTTGCATATGTAATGGATGGTGGCTCAGAATCATTAATTGCAGACCCCAGTTCCAATTCCAGTTTGGTTTGCTATATCAAACTTACACACAAATACCCTGGGGAAAGGTATGACTCCACCTCTTTTCTCCCCAGCTATGGGTTAAGAAAGAGAAGTAGAGAGAAATAAAGAGAGACTAGTAAAGATAACAAGAAATAAAAAAGGTGAAATATCTTGGAATTTAAATCAAAGAATATATAAACGCACAAGGGATATTTGCAAAAAAAAAAAAACAAAAAAAAACACACAGTGTATTAACCAATCATTGTATTACATTTAACCATAATTTCGTTTAAAAAGACAGTTTTTAATTAAGAGACAAAGTAATTTATTAAAATAAAAACGTATAAAAAGTACACTAATTTCTGAGTCTTTCATAGCAACCAATCTAGGAGAATGACAATTCTGAATCAAAACCTAAAGATGGTCTTTTAGGGATCTTATAGCACACTGTGCATCATTTCTCTGCATCATTTCTCTGTATTCCAAAAAGTGTGGTCAGGTCTGCACAAGTCTTCACCATTATAATCCAATCACATGTGTGGGTAGTTTGGTTGTTCGGTTCTAAGAACTTGGCAGAAGAGTCCTACATATACAGAGTTAAACTTTAGGTATTACAAACTAGTGTAGGTACCCAATAAAGAATAACTATAAACATAAATACATAAATAAATTATAGGTAAAAATATTTCTAAGAAAGAACATAGCATGATGACAAAAGGCCTCAGACTGGATAAAAAATAAGTTTCAACTTCAAAATATTTGTTATTATTAAGGGGAGTGACAAAACTTTTTTAATCCGTTCAAGCACGTTTGAAATTTTGTTTAAAAAAATATTGTTTTCGAAAGATCTATATGGGAAATTTAATGTCTTTTTTGCAGTAAATTCTTACAAAAATAAAATAATTGTTGGATTTTAATGAAATTTCCAGGACTTATTTAAATTATTATTATTATTAAATTATTTTGGAAATTTCATATAAAGAAATACTCAACATCTCTAAAAAATTCGAATACAGTTTCTTAATTACGCAGCAAATAAAATGCAGATAATTCTAGATCGTATTCAACAAATCCAAGTGATGATGGGCAGCTTGTCTTCACTGAAAATCGACATTCAACATTTGAGCTTTCCTAACTAAATAATATGAAGTCAGAAATACAAAATTATAACAAGGGAAATAATTCGGGTTAAGTATTTCAAAAGTTCCCTCCCTTAGATCATTTTTTTTTTCTTGTTCAATTTAGTTAAAAATGAAGAGAAAAATTAATAAGCGCTATTATGAAACAATGATTTGTCGCAAAAAAAAACATATTACATATTATTTAATAAATAAATAAAAAAAAGAAATCAAATCAGAGGAGTTTTTTACGTTTACTTTTGCACAAATGACCTTGAAAAAGGTCATAAATTTATCTCTTCTCTCACCAGCTTATGTATTAAATAGTAGAGTAACCAGCTATTACAATGAATTTAAAGCCATGGAGAAGGCAATAGGAAATAACTCTTTTTTCTTTCATAAAATGGTTATCCAGGGATAATGAAGAAACATAATCTGTCAAGTGACATGAACACCTACATCCAGACAAATGCAGGTTTATTTAAAAGAGTAATTTATTAAGTATATAGAAAGTGTACTAACTTCAGAGCATTGTACAATAACTTTACCTCCTTGTATGAAAATGTCCTTTTGAAGGACAAAATGCATAACTTATGATTTATATATATATATATATATATATATATATATTGCTTAAACCTGCATTCCCCAACTGGAAGCCTTCATTGAATCTGACTTGCTTTGACTTCTTGGCCATGAAGATATATGGATACCCATAAATAAATATACTGTTTAATAAATAATTAAAAAAAACAGGGCATCTATTCAAATATGCATGTCCATTAAAAATAATGTTTAAGCAATAAATTAAAATATGTCAGATTAATAAATGGAAAATTCATTCTTAAAAATTGTCTTTCTTTATGTTAAGATACAAAACAGGAAAGTTCTGTGTTCAAAAGCACTGAGTTTTGCTTGGTCAGAAGGTTTTTTGTGTCTGAGAGGTCAAAACATGTCAGATCTAATGACAATTTCCCCTAGGGGAATGCAGGCTTGAATCCTGCTGAAGAGTGCATATTTTTCTAATAAGATTTCTCAAATATTCTGGCCAGTAGGTAGAAATAAATAAATATACTGTTTAATAAATAAATAAAAAACCCTACTCAAATATGTGCAATAAATTAAAATATGTTAATAAATGAAAAATCCATTCCTACATATATATATATATATATATATATATATATATATATATATATATATATTAAATCATTACACAAAAATTTTCATGTTTCAGAACTTTAAGATTGTCCCTCATCAGGCAATGTTAGATAAGTTATGATGAAAATGATTTACTTGGGAAATCAGAAATCATTTCAGTAGATCATGAAAATGAGATACCAAATTGTTTTCTGGTTTCCCAAGTAAATCATTTTCATCATAATTTATCTAACATTGCCTGATGAGGGACAATTTTAAAGTTCCGAAACATGGAAATTTTTGTGTAGTGATGTAAAATATTATAATAAAAATATTATAATAATATTTTGCTCTATGTTTGTATTGAACACTTTTTTTAAAAAAAGTAAAAGTAAATGCTAAGAACTGTGGATTCTCAATCTGTCTGTTATTTCTCTTTATTTGTATACATATATATATATATATATATATATATATATATATATATATATATATATATATATATATATATTAAATAAAAAGAAAGAACAGTAAGATATATAATTCGGTGTTCTTATTGATATTTTATTTTTATTTTTACAAGACAGTGATAAATGTAAATTTACAGAGCATAAATATTATAAATTAACTGATTTAAAATATGGTTTCTTCGCTACACAGTAATAACCATGTTTCAAAAACTGAAGCTAAAACCTTCAAATATAATTATATGAATTAAATTAAAAGCATTAGTTCTGTTTCATCTTCAAGAAAACTTTGGAATAACTTATTTTTAAATTTACTGAGGTTTAAAGGCACATATAAATTCATAATTTCTTGTTTCCAAGGATACAGAGAAATCCATTCATTTAAACGGAGGAGTAGCGTGTTCGTTTTTATTAACTATTGTTGTATCAATTATGAGTTACATTCGAAAAAGAGGTTAAGTTTAGGGAGGGTAGGGGTGTATTTTTTTCAATGAATTTTGACATTCGTTAATTGCATGTCATCTGGGTTTTTTTTCTTATTAACGAAAAAAAAGTTTTTCGGCATTTTTTCATGCTTGTATACTTAAAGATTCTTTCTAAAAGGGGTGTTTGGTTTTGAATATGTTATATTTAACTACAATTTTAAAATATTATTTTTACTCTTAATTATTAATAGACTATATTTCTTTTTAAATCAAGTAAATGTAACAGGATTACCTAAATTATTTAAAACTATTATTACATATGAAATATAAGTATGTATATTACCAGCTCCATTTTTTTAATTTCTTTAATTTTTATTTTAGAATGTAGAATAAAGGGCCTTTTAAAACGCTTTATTCTACATTCAACACCATCACTTGATAAGACACCAGAGGTGTTGAAACAAAATGGCTATTTTTGTAGTGATTTTATAACATATTTATGTCATAATTTTTGAATAAATAATAATATATATATATATATATATATATATATATATATATATATATATATATATATATTAATTCAAGTAAAAGGTTTGTCACTTTGCTGATTGATGTTACTTTCAGCATTTCCTAGAGTAACCCTATGGGGATTACAACATCCCCTTGTAAAAGGGGTGGGGTTTTATCAGCAATTGACTGCTTATACTTCTTAATTTTTTTTTTATGTGCACTTTTCATTGGTGCAAGTTTTTTTCATAGTGTATGTGTGTGAATGTGCATTCTTGCCCATGTGCATGTCTCCATGTATGTGTGTACGTGTAGAATGCTATGATTATTTTTTTTTTTTCATTTTTTTTCACCTTACACTCACTTAGCCTTTTCTTTCTTTTTCTTTTTTCCTCATATCTTTTAACTGTTGCCATTTTGACTTCTGGTTTTCTAGACATGTTGTCATGGTTAATTTTTTCTAATCTTTTCTTCAGTTAGGAAAATTGTATTACATTTTTTACATAAATAAGGAATTTTAATGCTTAAATAATAAAGTGAATATTTATATATGACTTCACTTCGTAATTATTTCATTTTCTTATCTGATTTGGTGGTATCTTTAGTACTATTAGGGTATTAATCATAGGAGGTTAGGTTCATAATTAAATTTATATTTATTATTGTTTGAATTTGTATGCATAAGCTTATATTCATATATTTATGCTCACACAAACACACACACATTTATATATATATATATATATATATATATATATATATATATGTGTGTGTGTGTAAAAATGCATGCACACAAACAAATGCACATGTGTATGTGTGCTTTGTTATTATTATATAAATTAGTGTTTATATATGATTTTTTTTCATATTTTTAGGGTATTAATTATGGGTGATTGAGTTTATGGAGTATTTTTTTTTTTGCTCTTTGAATATATGTATATAGAGTATACAATATATACACCTGCACTCACATGCACACACTTGCACACACACACACAGATACATATATATGTATTTTTTAAATATTGTATTAGTAGAAAATTAAATGTTTATATGTTATCATTTATCCAATGTATCATTTTTATTTAATAACTAGTACTTTATTTGTTTTTTGACTAGGTGTTATCTCATATATTGAGGTATTAATTATGGTAGGTTAGGTTTCTTCATTTGTAGTTGTATGTGAGTGTGTGTATTTATATGTATATACTTGCACAAACACACATACATACACATATAGTTGTGAATATTTAATATTTATTTTCTTTATTATTTCTTTGTTTAATTTTTTTTTTATGTTTATTTTATTTTGTTTGGTTTTGTTTATCTATTTTATGTTTATTTTATTAATATTTGTATTTTTTCTTTATTTTATGTTTATATTACATTTTTTTTATTAATTTATTCCTTTTTTAAGTTTATATATTTATTTTATTTATTTAGTTATTTGTTTATCTATTTACTTATTTTTCATTAGTGCTTAGATGACAGATTAAGTATTTATTTGTCTTCACTTACCCATTATTTCAGTTTTCTTGTTTAAGAGTTTATTTTGGTTTGTAAGCTAATTATTACTAATTAAAACTAATTATTGCCAATTTTTCCTTGAAACATAATATACAAATTTTACTGTTAATACTGTATGAGGCTGCCCTTTTTTATAATTTCTTATTGGATATAAGTGTGGTTATTGTTTTCCTTTTGTATCTATATGTATTTTGATAGGGTTATATTGTTTGTGTATTTTTTCTTTTAAAGGACATTTTGTGCCTGTAATCTTTCTTTTAGCATTTTTCTGTGGCACCTACATAAATTTTTTCATCTGTGTTAATGTTATTAGTTTTGATTGTATTTTTATTGATAATTTTTTATAATTTGCTGTTCTTAGGGAAATGTTTGTCAATTAGTTTGAAGAATATTTTACCCATTTTTGTTTTTATTAAATTGTTGTGAGCGGGGTTTGACCAAATTATAGTTGGTTTTTTGTTGTCTTTGTTTTAATTGTTTTTGTTTTTGTATTCTAGTTGTTTTGAATATCCACTCTTTCTTATGGCTGATTCGTATATTTTTTTGCTTTCATTGAATATTTTTAAGCTGCTCGAATTTGTTGAAATTCTTATAGATATGGGTATTTGTTTGAATATGTTCATAAGTGGTTGGAATTATCTTAATGTATATTGGGTTGACATTTGGTTTATATATATATATATATATATATATATGGAGATTATGAGACAAAATGGAGTGGAAAAACTTTTAGATTTGTTTCACCAATGTGATGTGAATTGGATTTGACTTCTTCAAGTCGGAATCTCTTATATTTAAAAGTCTCAATGCAATTTCCTTATAACAAAAGTTCTTACAATGTCAAAATATTTTCTGGCTTTAAATAACCTGCAAAAGGTTGATAACCTATCAAAAACAAATCTATCAATCAATGACCATGTGTTGGTAGGCACAAGAAGAAATGGTTACATTGAAAAATTATTCTTTACTTCTTTTCAAAAACTAATTAAAAAACTGATCATATGTGACAGACACAAAATAAAGGTTGTACAATACAATACAAGTGAAATGCCATAAATCTGGACTATTCTTCAATGAGGAGAAGCAGACAACTAGATCTCCAGTACCAAAGTAATTTCCATTAGACAGGAATCCCTGGGTCTCTGTGGGCAAGGCCATAATTTTGTGCTCATTAACCGCAGCACATATACATATAACTTATTATTTACCTTTGTTTCATTTCTTGGGTTGCTTCAGTGTCCACAATGCTGACTTGGGTCTCACTGGTATCACCCTGCAAAAAGGAAAGGTTGAAAATCTAATAAAATATGTAACAAAAAGAATTGGTACTAATTTGAAAATTCCCATAAGATTTTGGCATCCAGTGGATTTCTCTATTCTGGCTAAAAACATTTTTTATATCTAATAAGTCCATTAAGCCAAACTCAATGGCAATCTGACTTTGAATTCAGCATCATCATATATGTATATATATATATATATATATATATATATATATATATATATGTGTGTGTGTGTGTGTGTGTGTGTGTGTGTTTGTAGGTATAGCTGGCCACTTGAATTCAAGGACACCCATCTACTAGGGTGGTTATCCAATCCCTATTGCAGATGCTTGCTCAGGTGCATTTGTGTTTGTTCAACACCCACAGAAACCACCTGTGGTTTATACTGCAACTATGCTGTAACTAAGGTCTGCTCATCATAGTTGCAGTTTAAACCACAGGTGAGCTCTGTTGGTGTTGAATAAACACAAAATGCGCCTGACCAAATATCTGCAATAGGGATTGGCTATCCGCCCTAGTAGATGGGTATCCTCAAATATGAGTGGCCAGCTATACATGCTGAGCAGACCTTAGTTACAGTTTCTGGGGAAGAGCATGTTATCTAGTGTGATCAACAATTTGAACAAGGCCTGCACGCTCAAGCCCTCAGCCATGATGACTTGTGATTTCGTGCTAGCACAGCTATTGATGACCCCCAAGTGTTCTGTCCACCCAATTTCACTCACAAGGCTTGGGTCAACCCGTGGTATGGTTTTAGGCACTTTCCAAAGATACTGCATGCTGAGATTGTCTCCTTCCAGACCAATAACATCAGGAAGTCTCCTTCCTGACAAATCGACCATGGTGGGATCCGAAACCCGAGAGAAAGAAGTACGACACAGTGGAAAATGTTTTCATGTGACACATTTTTGATGAAACTTAAATAATCAATGACAAAGTGAAAAGAGATTTTTTGTATGACACGTTTCGTCCTTTAGGACTTCATCAGGCTAAGTTTATGCTTGCAGTGATGTGACTAAACATGCATTCAAATAAGGGATGCTGGGAATTTTAAATTAAAAATATATTTTTTTTTTTAATATATTTTGAATATAGAGTCTAACTTATTTCATTTAGATTCTTTTTCTTTTTGTTCATGTTTCCATTACATTTGTTATTAAATATCCTACATTATGATAACAGAAGATATGCCAAGAAGGATGAAATCTTGTGAGAACCTGGACGCAACTTGTTCATAGTTAATATTATTGAGAAAAAGAAAAAGCCAACACTCAATAATATCAACTATGGACATGGTCACAACATGCTGACCATGTTTGGAAAATAAACAAAAACAATGCCATCACTATACAGGGTGCGATAAATAAATTGTCGTCTAAATTATGCAGAAATGAAAATAACACTGACATCTCATTTTAACAGATATATTTACTACAATTACACAAAAATATCTTGAAATACTAAAGAGTAAATTTATTCAATAAAATCACCATTGGCTTCAACCACGGCCTCCAGATGACTTCTGAATCTCTTGCATCTCTTCTGGATGGTCTCCTTGTTTAAGTTGGTGAATGCTGCCATAATCCTTGCATTCATATCATCTTTGGTGTTACAAGGCATGTTGTTGGTCCCTTGCACAACTGCACCCCACACATAATAATCAAGTGGTTTGCAGTCTGGGGTGTCAGGTGGCTAGATTTAAAGGGTGATGTGGTTGCAGAAAATGTCTGACAACCATAACTGGGTTTTTTTCTGATTGTGTGGCATATTGCAGCGTTATGTTGCCAGTCATAGGGTTTTTCAACAGCCAATGTCTTCACCCAGTGCAGCACTACCTTCTCAAGGCACTTGATGTAGGCCTCCACATTCAGTCTGAGGCCCTCACCAAAAACTTCAGGCATTCTTTTCTTATCAGAACAATCAGAGTGAGTTTTCCGAGCTGCTGTGCCTTTGTAATCATCATTAGACTCATCCAATTCTTTCCAAATCCTCTGCACTGTCCTCAGATTGACACCCAGACACTCTGAAATGTTCATATTGGAGCTTCCAATGTGAATGCTAAGCAGTACAGCATGCCGTTTCCAAATTTCTGGCGGATTGAATTATGTCATGGTGCTCATTTTCTCACAGATGGTGCCCAACTGACCCTACTATACTGTGTGCAGTTGACAAATCAAAAACAAACAAATGTGTCGGTGCAAAATTAAAAATATAGAATTTGAAAAAATTTACCCATCCCACCCTGCATATACTCATATATAAAAATCTACATATTTGGTTCTAAAAAAAAATTTTAAAAACATCCTTGATATTGGCAAATAAAATAGAAAAAAACACTTAGTTATATAGAACATTTGGACAGTTTTTACACAATTTATATAAACACAAGAAAAATTTAATAATTTTACCTTGTCAGTCACCTTTAATAAAACTTGTACATACGAGTATGTATATATATATATATATATATATATTATTAATAGAAATCTAAGTATAATACACTATACTCACTCGGAAAACCTTTGGTGTATATATTTTCAAATAAACAAGCCAATACCAAAGGGAAAAAAAGGTATGAAAAATGAAAGAACCAAGAACATGTACATTAATCGAAAATAATCATCCAGCATACGAGTTCAAGGCTCAAAGAAAAAAACCCGAGTACCCAAAACAACTAAATAAAGTGCTCAATACAATGAGTAGAGCAGACCTAGTTAATTAGGTTAATATAGTTAACTAACTATATATATATATATATATATATATATATATATATATGTGTGTGTATATATGTATATCTATCTATCTATCTATCTATATATATATATATATATATATATATATATATACATGTATATAAAGGCATTTGACAAGGTGCGTCATAAGGCAGTTACTACATAAACACTCCAGCTATGGCCCCTCCTGAAGTGTCTTCTCACTTATAAAGTCTTTCCTATCAAGTAGATCCACAAAGCTTATCAATAATGGGAAGTCATGAGATCAAGGCAGGTGTCTCCCAGGCTCTCTCCCACTCCTTGCATTATTTCTGTTTTATATTACCAATCTGCCCAGGAACATTCTCAGATCATTAGTGAATATGGTATTTATCAATCCACCCACGGGGATCGAATGTGGCACAAGGTCTTTTTAATGTGGGTATCTCTGAGCCCGTAGGCCCAGCCAAAAATAAATAACCATCCAAACCCGCCGAGGCGGGCCAGTTCCGTCAACCTCCCCCAACGAAACCCCACCCTTCGGTGGAGCTTCGTCCGGGTTCCTCTCTGCAAGCAAAGAGTTCGACAGACACCCGACCCGGCAGCTCACAAAGTGCAGATACTAGACTTTGATCCCAGCCACCGGGCCGAGCGGGTATTCTTTTTATCGATACAAGTGAGTATGATTGCAGATGATTCCTCAGGCACATGAATTTGAGAATGTCCATGAATATTCAACAGGTGGTTGAGAGATCAGTCAAAACACATGGAGAAATACATTTTTTTTTTTCCTAATATAATTTTCCAACACACATGACCATAAAAAGGTTAAAAAATTGAAAGAAAACAGTTCAAATCCATTAGTTCATGTTTTTGAAGATGTACAGCACATATGTCCATTCCAAACTATAATAATCTGACCATAATTTAAACAATATTCATTTATTTAAAAAAAAAAAATATTGAATATTTCACACTTTTGTCTTACCAGACTTTGAATTATGACACTTTGTGTCTTCCATATGCTTTAACTGACCTTTCAACCACCTGATGAATATTCATGAATGTTTTAAAATCTAAAAGCTTTGATAAACCAGTGACATCCATGCTCTTGTATATAAATATTTGCAACAAAATAAATCCTACATTTGCCTTGATAAAGTACCACAGAGGATGAAATGCATTGGCCAAGAATATTTTTTACTCTTGCCTTTTTATTCATTTTGTTACTTTACAGATACACTCAATCTGAAAATAATTTACACACACATATATATATTTTTTTTTAAATACTTATATCATTTTACTATTTTTATTTTTCATTCTTTTTCATATGACAATTTTAAATCACTAATTTAAAAAAATAATTTGCCAAAAATTTTCATTTCTTTTGGTCAATACAACCTCCGTCCAGCCACATTAACATTTTTCTATGTTTGTATACGTGTATGATGGTAGAAGCTTAGAATAACTTAAAAAAACAAGTTTGTGGCAAATCAATAATTGATCAATATTGATTTTATATCCCTTATGTCTCAAAACTGTCTGATGGGCTTGGTTATATATATATATATATATATATATATATATATATATATATATACACACACACACACATATATATATATATATATATATATATATATATATATATATATATATATATATATATATATATATATATATATATATATATATATATATATATATACACACACACACACATATATATATATATATATATATTAGAAGAAATGTGATTAGAATGTTTACTTTCCAACACATGAGACACAGGTTTGAATCTCACCCTGGTCGATAAGCCAGGAATGTGACTCGTTGATATTATCAGTCTGGAGGAGGCAATCACAGCATGTGGCGCATTTGACCTAAGCTTTGTGATTGAAACTGGGTAGATGGAACTGTTTAGAAGCTATCAATAGTTGTGCTAGCATGAAATCACAAGTCATAGTGACCAAGGGTTTGTGCTTTGCAGGATGGCCCTAAACTTTTTTGCCTGTGGTGTATAGGAGCTATTAATAAAAATAACAAAGATCAGCTAAATGTGGAGGCTGGGCTAAAACAAACTGACAGAGTTCCAGATCTTTCCCTGTGTTATTCTTGGTTTTGAAGTCTTGTCTTGGAAGAGAACAACATCTTCCCTTTCATTCACTGTGCCCGCTGCCACTGTCATGCAAATACTAAGCTACGTTAGTGTACCCCAAATTTATTTTTAACTGATACATATGATTAGTAGTTAAGATGATACATTCATCATTAATATTGGTTTCTAAAAATGGAAATTGCTAATGACTCAGTTGTTTATAATTATAGCTTAGATAAAAAGGAAAATAAAATTAAGGTGTCATTTTAAACGGATGCCACAAGGATATGGGTTTAATCAAAACCTTTTTTTTTTGCATATATTGTGGTCATTTTGCTTAAAATCAAAATATTGTGGGCATTTTGCTTAAAATCCAAATATTGTGAACATTTTGCTTAAAATTAAAATATTGTGGTCATTTTGCTTAAAAATAAAATTTTTTGATTTCAGGTGAAAGCTTGGAAATATTCCAACATATTTCAGTGAAATTTTCACTTTCTCAAATTATCGTCCATAATAGTAGTTTAGATACCATATATTTCCACGTATGTCACCCTATAAATAAGATAAGATGTAAAATCTAGTTAAATTTTTGTGATTTTATCTGATATCTATAAGAAAACCAACTGATTCACCAGATTTGGACCAGGAGCTATATAACAAAACAGCAAATGACAATGTTTATGATGAGCTCTTTGCATCAGATGGTGATGATCATAGTAATTTTAAATGGTTTTAATTATGTATGTGAATGGCTTAAGTTTTTATTCTGTAAAGAGAAATAAAGATTTTACGCCATCTTAAATGTTTTGTTGCTTAACACAAAAAAAGTATAATGTATATTATTGAAAAAATAAAGTTTGCATGTTATACTAAATGTTGTTATTTAACACCACAATGATAATGAATTTCAATTAGAAATATAGATTGTATGTTATCTTAGATGTTGTTATTTAAAGCTACTATGAGAAATAATGATTGGTGTGAACGCACCCATACAAGTACAAATCAAGGACGAAAGATTTGTTTATTTTATTTGTTACTAGTGCATGTTCAGTCAGTCGGTTATGTACCATATGTGATACATGCTTAGGCAATCATGTATCTTTCCATACATGACTGACGAGGCAGATTTTTGCCTGCAGTAGGTTGCCATTTGTTTCTGTGGCAGACCAATTGCCATCCAAGGCTATAGAACCCAGTCTGACCTGCTATTTACCCAAAAGCAGGGCGGAGAAGAAGAGGATTCATACCTTTCCCAAGGGTATTAGCACATAGGTGAATATCAGTCAGTCATGTGCCATGTTTGATACACGCTTAGGTGATCATGTATCTTTCAATACATGACTGACAAGGCAGATTTTTTACCAGTAGGTTGCCATTTCTTTCTGTGATAGACTAGTTGCCATCCAAGGCTATAGAATCTGGTCAGTCCTGCTATTTACCCATAGCTGGGGGGAGAGAAGAAGAGGATTCATACTTTTCCCGAGGATATTAACACGTAAGTGAATGTAATGGATTCAACTGGAATTCAAACTCGGTTCTCGGATTTCTCAATCCACACTGCATGTTACTTAGTAGAAATTTTGCAAATTATTATGTAATGGTCTCTTGACTATTATATTTTAATATGAAATGAAAAAGTAAAAGTAGTTTTATTATATTTATAACTGTAGTACAGTATTATAACATGAATTGTTTCAAGTAGAAATATTTACATTGGTAGTTACCATAACGAGGCAGTTGTTAGCTTACCACAAGCCATGGTACAAATATACTAGCCTACTTACCAGTGCTGATATACCACAGGATTTAAGATTAGCTTTTTTGTAATTACTGTTAGATAACCCCCTTTTTTTTTTAGGGTGGTGAGTAATTTTTAAGATTTAAAGGTCACCTTATTTGCAGAAATAAATGTTATATAGCAGGTGTCAGCAACCTTTTGCTGACTATGCGCCAACTTTGGGTTTTAAAATCATTTCATGTACCAACAGCAGACGTATTTTTATACAAGTCAAGGTCAATATACCTGTTTGACAATATATTATATATACTAATATATAGTAAATACACTGCGTGCCAAATTATCATCGAGATAACTTTTTTTTAATATTTCAAAAACTGTCGAATCAAATTACACAAAATTTTCACACAATGTTGGCAACACTGAGCTGAGCAATCACTGAAATTTTCATACTGATCTGCGCAATGTAAACAAACTGGCGCCATATTTGTTATCAGCATGGTGATTTGAGAGTGCCAAATTATTAGAAAGGTTTAGTAAAATTCCCAGAATTGAGCAAACAAAACTTTTATTAATGTTGAATGTTTATGATCAAAAGAAGCTAATAAATAAGATAATCAAACAAATAATAACAAATAAAAACAAAAGGCACAGTTTTAAACAAATTAATAGGGAATGTGCTTTCCCTGTTTTGAAATTACTTGAAGAAGTCGACGATCCATAGAATTTGTTAATTGTAGGATGTCATCTGCTGTAATGCCGCGAGATATGTCAAGAATTGCTTCCCACAACTCAGCGTTGCTCCTGAATTGTCATCCATTGGCGTATAGTCTTCGCTTCATGATGCTCCAAAGGTTTTCGATTGGGTTCAAATCCGGAGAATTTGCTGGTCACTTCATTTTTCGAGGTCCATCGAAGCCTAACTGTTTCAAATAATCAGTAGTCTTGTGAGCAGCAAGTGAGGGAGCATTATCTTGCATAAAAACAATGGCCCTTCTGAAGGCAACTCTTTAGCTTTTCATCCACGGTTCAAGATGCTCCTTCATAGATGCTATATATGCATCAGCAGTCATTTTGATGCCATCTGGTACTCTCCATCGGCTCACTAATGTTTTTCCAATAATACCACCCCAGATCATTATACCTCCACCACCTTGTTGGCATCTCAAACGCTGATGGCGATTCTGTCCATTAATTACCCAGCCTTTGCCCCATCTATCTGGCCCATCAAGTGTTGCTCGAGTTTCATCTGTGAACAAAACTTTAGAGAAGTCAATCTTCATATTGTCCTTTCAATCGATTTTGAATGTGATTTCTCATCAACGGAGGCTTCGATACTGGTTTGACTGTTGTTGCTATTTCCCTTAGATACCAACACCGAGTACTTTTAGACACAGTAGGATCCCCAATGCGACTTAAAAGCTCTTGATTGGTAAGTCCAGGGTTCTTTGTGGCCCCTCGTTTAAGTCGTGACATGAGACGACGTGAAATAACCCTCGGCTTGCCTTTATCTGCCCTTTTGCATACTTGTGTAGGGTCGGCGGTGAACTTTTTCACTGTTTGATGACACCTCCCTATCATTTTAGAAATTTCTAGGGTAGATTTACCTTTTGAGTGTTGAGGTGATAGTTTTCTTTTCAGCATCACTTAAACTGCTTTTACAGCCCATCTTTTCACTAAATTCTTACACTTTTCTTATAATTTGGCACGCTCAAATCACTGTGCTGATAACAAATATGGTGCCAGTTTGTTTACATTGCGCAGATCAGTACGAAAATTTCAGTGATTGCTCAGGTCAGTGTTGCCAACATTGTGTGAAAAGTTTGTGTGAATTGATTGGACGGTTTTTGAAATATTAGAAAAAAAATTATCTCAATAATAATTTGGCACGCAGTGTATAGTTTAGCATATATTAAAATTGAAACAGCTAAATATCTGTTGTAGTAGTTATTGGTTTGAACTGTGTGCCATTTGAAATTGCTTGGCATGCCACATGTGGCATACATGTCCTAGGTTGATCACCCCTGTTATATAGAAAAAAAGCAGATGTCAGTTTAAACTGATACCAGAAGGATAGGGATTAACAGTAGCCTCGAAAATTACAAGTCGAGAAAATCTGAGAATCCCGGCCAGAACCAGGACAGCATCACATTGTCACCATTGCATCAAGGAGTAATCGACTGAAACAAGAAGGAGAATCTCTGAGTGACCTTTATCGACTAGGATCTTGTATAGAGAACTCTCAGTCTCTCAGGGATTCAGCAGGCAAGATCTTACCTTCAATCGGCTCCATAGAGATTGTCGGATGTCAATGACTCTTCCATTTTTGATAACACATGGTGGCAATCTTTCCACAAACTGGTTCACTGATAAAGCTGGCCCTGGGGAGAGATAAACAAATGTCAGTGAAGAGATTCGATTGAGAATGTCTACTCTTGCTCGTTGCTGAACAACAGTCAGTCCTTTTACCAATTAGTAGATGAAATTCAATATTAATTTTTTTCTTCTAAAAAGAAAAAAAAATGAGAATTAAAGGTTATTGCTTGAGTGATGTCATATTGCTGCTAAGCCTTTTCCAACCAATGCAAATATCAAAAATACATGCAGATAGTGTGAACTGTTTGTGTAACCTATGATATCAGGGGTAGGATTTATTAAACAAATACGATGAAAGTGTTATTTATTTTACAGATTGCAGAGATTGTGATAATGGAAAATTCTGGTGATGCAGAGACAAAATGGAATCAATAAGGAAGGGCATAGTTTAGGACTGAGACTGCATTTGAAGATTTTTCTGTCTGAATTTCTGGAATGAGGAGTCACAACTATACTTGGGAAAAAAGATGAGAAGATGTCAGGTAAAAATATAGAATTAGAGAAAGAAAAAAGTCAGAAAACAGAAGAAAAAAGGGGAAATATCAAGAAGAAAGATGAAAACAAAGAAAGAAAGAAAGAAAGAAAAAAGAAAGAGGAAAGCAGAAATATCAAGAAGAAAGATAAAAACAATGAATGAAAGAAGAAAGGAAGAGTTGGCAGAAACTAGAAGGAAAGAAAGTTAAAAAATCCAGAAAAAAACACAAAAAATGGTAAAGTAGAGGGATAAAAACAAAGAAAAAAAGAAATAAGAAAGAAAGAAAGAAAGAAAGAAAGAAAGAAAGAAAGAAAGATGAAAAAGGAAATATTAGGAAGAAAATGAAAACAGAAAAAAAGAAAGAAGAAAAAAGAAAAGAAGGAAACAAGAAAGAAAGAAAGAAAGAAAGAAAGAAAGAAAGAAAGAAAGAAGGTAAATGTAGGGAAGAAAGAAAGAAAGAAAGAAAGAAAGAAAGAAAGAAAGAAAGAAAGAAAGAAAGAAAGATGAAAAAGGAAATATTATGAAGAAAATGAAAAGAGAAAAAAAAGAAAGAAAGAAAGAAATAAAGAAAGAAAGAAGGTAAATGTAGGGAAGAAAGAAAGAAAGAAAGAAAGAAAGAAAGAAAGAAAGAAAGATGAAAAAGGAAATATTAGGAAGAAAATGAAAAGAGAAAAAAAGAAAGAAAGAAAGAAAGAAAGAAAGAAGGTAAATGTAGGGAAGAAAGAAAGAAAGAAAGAAAGAAAGAAAGAAAGAAAGAAAGAAAGAAAGATGAAAAAGGAAATATGAAGAAAATGAAAAGAGAAAAAAGAAAGAAAGAAAGAAAGAAAGAAGGTAAATGTAGGGAAGAAAGAAAGAAAGAAAGAAAGAAAGAAAGAAAGAAAGATGAAAAAGGAAATATTAGGAAGAAAATGAAAAGAGAGAAAAAAAGAAAGAAGAAAAAAGAAAAGTAGGAAACAAGAAAGAAATCAGAAAGAAAGAAATCAGATAAAAAAAAAGAAAGATGAAAGAGGAAATATCAGAAAGAAAGAAAGAAAGACAAAAGAGAAAATATCAAGAAGAAAGATAAAAACAGAGCATGAATGAAAAAGAAAGGAGGAGTCGGCGGAAACTAGAAGAAAAATAAAAAAGTTAAAAAATCCAGAAAAAACACACAAAAGTGGTAAAGTAAAGGGATAAAAACAAAGAAAGAAAAAAAAAGAAAGAAATTAGATAAAAAGATAGAAAAACAAATTGGAATTTTATCTTCTCTATCATTTGTGAGCAGGAAACAGTGAGTCATGGCTTTTTCCCAACATGAGGACTGTTTCTTTATCTAGTGAAGATATATTCCCAAAGCGAAATGGTGCTATGGCCTTGTGAGATGACCCTTTGGCAGGTGGCTGACTAGAGAAGCCGTCTTGCCTTGCCTGTGCAAGCAAACAATTCGTGTGTCTTGACTTCAGACAGTTAACTGATGGACTGGCCATTTTTGTCACTCTATGAAGTGACGTCACTAAGCAGTCACCCTGCGGTCCACATGACTTCATCTCAACCAAAAGGACATAATCACTTTTTGTATCACTACACTTTTATTGTCCTGAAGCAGCACCACCTATGAACTGTTTTGACAGTCAAGGTAGAGATAATTTCCACAAGCTACAAATTTTTTTATGGTGAGCCATAGGGCTCCCTGCAAACACAGTATAAGTCACTGAAGTAAAATGTTATAAGATAAAATATAAGAGACTAAGTTTTGTCTTATTATCAGATCAGTATAACAATATCATTATACTTCAATAAAGACTGCAAAAAACTGCAGACAAGATTTTCATTTTAATTTCTGATTTTTGTCCTGGTTCTGATGATGAACTACATCTGGCAGCAAGGCCTCTGATTGAGGTCTTTAGGAGTGTGGAACCACCTCAATTACTGACCTGAGGTGGTAGTACCTGTTAAGGTCCCAGCTATGGGCAAATAGTGAACTCCCAAACAAAAATCAACTACATTTTCCTAATAAATTGACCAACAATGCATTTTTATAGCAAAATGACAATCAATGCAACACTAAAAAATATAAAAATACATTTTCTTACTAAAATTACCAACAATACATTTAATGATCCACAAAATACATTTTTAATAGTAAAATTACCAACAATATTTTTAATAGTAAAATATACCAACAACGCAATTTACATTTTTATAATAAAAATTACCAACAATGCATTTTATAATCTACAAAATATATATCTAAACCACATACCTTTATTCTGAAAGTGTAAAATTCTGTACAAAATATCAGTAGTCGAAAGCATAAAATTATGTTTAAAATGTTTATATTTCGACATTAAATAACCCATAAAGGTGTTGATATGCTGCTAAACAATATCAACCAAAACCAAATTTCATTAAAAAACAACAACAAAATACAGGATAATGCTTCAACCATAAATAACATATTTACATCCATAGCCACATTGTTAATTTAAAAAAACAAAAAAAAGACCAATTTCTGAAAATACTTACCTGGACGTTCATTCACAACTTTGTTTCGTTGGTCAGAGATCTTTAAAGTTGATGCTTGTAAAATATTCTCCAGACCAGAATCTGATTCTTCATCCTTGTTACTCAGTGTCTTCCCAACTCCAGGGAAACATTCATGATAACGAGTGTCTTCATAATAAACTTCTCTCTTATCTGTCACCTGAACAGTACAAAAGAAAAAAATACTTTTAACAAATTACATATAAAGCAAACAACGAAGGAGTAAAAGTGTAGACTTTTTAAAAATTCTTCTGTATTGCCATTTTATTCCATCTTATTATTGATGCTTTTTTATCCCAACACTCTGGCTCTATACACTCTTCATTATTACTATTATTTTATTACTAGTTTTATTCAATCTTATTATTGTTGCTTTTTTATCCCAACACTCTGGCTCTATACACTCTTCATTATTACTATTATTTTATTATTAGTTTTATTTAATCTTATTATTGTTGCTTTTTATCCCAACACTCTGGCTCTATACACTCTTCATTATTACTATTATTTTATTACTAGTTTTATTCCATCTTATTATTGTTGCTTTTTATCCCAACATTCTGGCTCTATACACTCTTCATTATTACTATTATTTTATTATTAGTTTTATTTAATCTTATTATTGTTGCTTTTTATCCCAACACTCTGGCTCTACACACTCTTCATTATTACTATTATTTTATTACTAGTTTTATTTAATCTTATTATTGTTGCTTTTTATCCCAACACTCTGGCTCTATACACTCTTCATTATTACTATTATTTTATTACTAGTTTTATTCAATCTTATTATTGTTGCTTTTTTATCCCAACACTCTGGCTCTATACACTCTTCATTATTACTATTATTTTATTACTAGTTTTATTCCATCTTATTATTGTTGCTTTTTTATCCCAACACTCTGGCTCTATACACTCTTCATTATTACTATTAATTTATTACTAATTTTAATCCATTGTGGCTTTTTTAAATCAAACATTTTCCAACTAACACAGAAGAGCCAAAAACAAGAGTAAAAAAAAAAGTCTTGTTTGCACAAGAGTAAAAATGGCTGATATTTGTTGGTTTTATAATTCAGTCTGTAATTATCCCCCAAGAAATTGGTCCAATTTGTGGGGTAGGGGACTTACTCCTCTGCAGATGTTGCTGTATTTTTGTTTTTTTAAAGTATTGTAAAGCCTGTGAACAGAGTAACACTACAATAGGCTTTCATTGCTAAACAGGGTTAGTGTGACACAAAGCAACGATAATCTAGCCCTGACTGACCTTAGAAATCCTTCCCATAGTGAATCAACCTGTACAAAGATCTTGTTAACCGTTACAAGGTAGTATTAACATATTATCAGATCAGCCAAAATGAAAACTGCTGATATTTTCTGTCATAATGAACAATGTTGCATTTTCAGTGGTAAGATGAATTTGTTCCTGCTTAGTCTGGAGATCACAGGGAGTTATTTTGGAACATAATATGGTGTGGGGCATATCCAAGGAGGTGATGAAAAGTTCTTGCCCCACTTTATCTTAGACGGGAGTTAAAAATCCATTATCTGTTCATTGAGTTTCAGCAAGTGAACCAGCTGAGAATTTTTTTTTCCAGCACCCTACTGTTGATATGACAGAAAGAGAAGTCTTGCCTTGCCTGTGTTACAGAAAAACATTGTGAAAATACAAATAGAACCTTTCTTTTTTTTTTAACCCCAACTGGAATGACCCCTTATTTTGGCATACTGGTTTTATTTACAAGTTGAAAGGCTATGGTGTCTCTGGCTGAATTTTTTATTTGATTTACTCATTTTTATCAAATTTCGAAATAGAGTTTATCTTGAATGACCACTCGTCAAGATCTTTCTATATAAATACAAGTGTTCCTCATGACTATTCTTTGATCTACTTAGTTTCTCATTTTATCAATAACCTTTGTGATATTATTTACATTATTCGGACTATTGTCCTCATCTTTGTCGCCATATTTATCACAACGTTTTGGCCGTTGTACGCTCCGGCCTTCTGCAATGATAACAGCAAAAATTGCAATATGAGCACTGGTAAAAATGGTTGCTGAAGACATTAGGTTTATAACACCCAGAAATTCATACACAAGGACACATGGCACAGTGGATAAAGGCGTTGGTTAGATCCAGTGACAAAGAGTGTGAGTTCAATACCCAGTTAAGGCAGTGGAGAACTTTCAGAGGGAAAATTAGCAGGAGATAACTGATAGCTGATATACATCAAACATAGCACGTGGAACTAGAACAGTCTACCCCAGTGAGCGAAATAAAGGGTTCAGTTCAAAATTCTAACCACCTGAAGAAGGCCGGAGCGTACAATGGCTGAAACGTTGTGATAAATGCGACAATGATGAGGACAATAGTCCGAATAATGTAAATAATGTATATAATACCTCATCTCAGAAATATAGACAAACCTTTGTGATGTCATCAATTCTCAATGACACAATGCTGATGACACAATTATGTATTCTTGTCTTACTGATACATTTGATAGATTCAATGAAGTCAAACTAACTGCTGATCTTGAAAATGACCTTCAACCCTTGGCTACCTTGGGCAAGAAACGACTTATTAATTTGAATGCCTCCAAAAATAAACTGCTCCCTCTGGAACCATTTTTTCCTTCCATCAGTATGGCTGATGCTAACCACCATTAAAGGAACTCCATTGCAGCTTCTCAGTCTAACATTTTCTACTGATATGAACTGGAACAATTATATCAAGTCTGCTGCTAAGAAAGTTGGTTCTCTGTGTCGTGCAAAACAATTTTTGTCACCCAAATTTGATTTTTAACTTTATAATTCTACCACTGGACCATGTATCAAATATTTTTGCCACATCTGGTCTGGTGCTTCTGATAGGTATGTAGAGATACCTGACAAAATCCAAAGCAGAATCTGCAACATTATCGGTCCTGACCTGGAACCTCCCCACTTCAATCACTTTCCCACTGCCATAATGTAGCATCCTTTTGCCTTTTCTGTACACATTTTCGTGTTAATTGTTCTGATGAACTTTCCGCTATAGTATCTCGACTTCATGAATTTAAACAAGACAAAAACAATACAAGATTGGCATCAAGGCATCACCATTTTACTGTTGAAGTTCTATTCTAGTAATTTCTTCTCTTGCACCTCTCACCTGTGAAACTCTCTTCTAGAAACCTGTTCTTTTATTGTCCTTTCTACTCAATAAAATTTCTGTTTCCTTCACACTCAGGAACCCCTTGTATCATAGTGGCTTTATTGCCTTGCTTAGGGTGAAATGATTAAAGTAAAAGAAAGATATTAACTCTTGTTTATTCTCCAAGAGACCTCTGACTTCAAAACACAGAGTTCTGGAACAAGAACGATGTTAAAGGTTGATCAGTCTTTTCCTGTATGTCTGTATCATTTTATAGATGGATGGATTCAAACTAAATTTATCTCTGTTCCTATCTGTGATAACATAACAGAGAGCCCTAGTTTTCTCTCCCTGGGTTGCTCTGCTACCCAAATATATATAGAACCTCTTTACTTATCTCCCTGCCATTGTTAATTAGGCTTAAGGGGTCAGATATCACTACAAAAAGACAGATGTCAGTTTTATCTCGAAACATTCCAGATAAATGTTCAGGAAAAAACATACATGTCTTATCTTTATCATCGAAATATAAGTACATCTTAAAAACATAAATCATCTCACTTGGTTAATATCAATTTTATTGTGAAAACTTTGACTTGCATAATAATATCTGGCATATTTACATTATTTACATTCAGACTATTATCCTCATCTCTGCTGTTGTTATCACATTTTAGACATTGTGCTCTTCAAGGTTCTTGAGCTATCTGTTGATCTGGATAATCTTCAAGGAATTTTAAACTGAACCCTTTATTTAATTTCTTGGGTAGACTGTTCTCATTCTGTTGCCTACATCTAGGGATATCTTGGTGTTATTCTTCTGCTCAGTTATTGCTTGCTCTGTGTCCATTTACTTTATGTCTGAATTACTATAATGAGTTTGTATGTTTTAATTGAAGCTGTAGTTCATTCTATGGAAAAGTAAATGTGAGTTAAAACTCTGACTTGAGTAGTACAGACACTTTTTAATACTGTAGGGAAAGGCATGAAATCATCTTCTCCTAGATATTTTTTAATCATTTCAACCCAAGCAAGGCAATAAAGCCATTAAGACACAAGGGATAAGTGAGTGTGAAAGAATAAGAATAAGAAAAGCATTAAGGTGCAAGAACAATAAAAGAAGAGGAATCAAGAAGACAGTAGATATATGATTGACATTGCATTTAAATTTTTGAAGATCAAAATTGACTGGAAAGTAAGAAGTTGGAAGAGAGTTCCACAGGCAAGAAGTATGAGAGAAGAAACTGCAAATAACAATAAAAGAATAGGAATCAAAAAGACAGTAGATATACGATTGACATTGCATTTAAGTTATTGAAGATCAAAATTGAATGGAAAGGAAAAAGTTGAAAGAGAGTTCCACAGGTGAGAAGTGTGAGAAAAGAAAATGTCAATCACAATAAAAGAAGAGGAATCAAGAAGACAGTAGATATACGATTGACATTATATTTAAATTATCAAAACTTAAATTATTGAAGATCAAAATTGAATTGGAAAGTAAGAAGTTGGAAGTCCACAGGCGAGAAGTGTGAGAAAAGAAACTGCTAATAACAATAAGAGAAGAGGAATCAAGAAGACAGTAGATATACGAATGACATTGCATTTAAATTTCTGAAGATCAAAGTTGGCTGGAAAGTAAGAAGTTGGAAGAGAGTTCCACTGGCGAGAAGTGTGAGAAACGAAACTGCTAATAACAGTAAAAGAAGAGGAATCAAGAAGACAGTAGATATATGACTGACTCTGCATTTTTAATTTTCTGCTATAATTGCTCTGTGTGAGACATGTGTAAATATGTAGGCATAATTTTAAATTTCATCTCATGAACAATGATAAGTATATAAAAGAAAAAATCTGATTCGACTTTTATAAAGAGAGAGCATAGCAAGGAGACAGGTACTTTCTGGAGCAGTACAAGGAAGTGACGTATACATGAGTTCTACAGAATGAGTTTAAGTGAATCAATCTTTGACTCATTGATCATCACTGAATAGCATTGTTAGTAAGGATTGCATGCATGAATGCATCTTACAAACCACTGCCGGGTTGTTGGGGGCACAACATATGCAGTTTATGCAGTCTATTTATCACTCTTTCTTGCGGAACACCTAGCAACTTTGCATTGGGCCTAGGGTTGAGAAACAACACTGATCTAGGATGTGTTTTGACAGAGCATGGAAAAAATGACACTGAAATCCAAAGTAGATGCAGAAATTTGTGTTACTTTTGACAGCTTATAAGAGGATGCTATCTCTATCTATGATATAACATACAATTCCCATGACTTAAGAATTTCAGTCATTGCCCAACATGCAAGCCGCTAGTGGCTCACTGGCAGGCCACTGATGGCAATGCCAGAAGTCCTCTGGCAGCAACCAATAGCTGGCCACCAGTGGGCCTCTAGCAGTCTGCCAATGGTAACATTGCCAAGAGGAACATGCTGGCAGTTTGACAGCGTGCTATCAGTGGTAAACACTAGTGACATACCACCCAGTGGCAGATTGGTGGCTCATATGTAGGGTGGAAGTTTTTTTGTTTTTTTTGAATGAATATCTCTATAGTTAGCCTAGGTTTCTGGGGGTGCCACCATTTTGTCATCTCAAGAGAGATTGCAAACCAAGGATGAAGAGATGCTGTCTGTCCATTAGCAAATTAACCGATTTTGAATTCAGAGTTGCTCTTCTCCTAGACTGGTTGCTAGCCAGGGCTAGAGATCCCAGTCTGCTCTATTATTGAATCCATAGCTGGTGGCAGGGGTTGGGAATTCAGGTTTTCAGAAGGCATCACGTCTCCCTATTCCTCATCATCATGTCTCCTACTGTTAGCATCCATCACGTCTCCTACTGCTCACAACGGTCATATGACAGTCTACATAAGTATTTCAGATTTCAACCAGCTAAATAGCCATTGGTTAAAAAAAAACACGTTTATCAAAATAATTTATTGTAGTAGAAAAACACTTCTGTTTTTCTTTTTCTTTTACCTTCCATTGATCACCCCCTCCATTCCTTTGCACACAGGCTGATAGGGTTCAGTAAATTATTTTATTACCTTCATCCCTTCCCCAAAACTATACAGAGCCAAAATTTACTGAGTGAAAAAATAATTCTTTAGGAAACACAACTCCATGATGATATTCGCTCAAACAGCCTGATTATTATTACTATTATTATTATTATTATTATTATTATTACCTCTACTGGTACTATGAAAGGAACCATCATAAAGATATACCAATGATATTCCTGGGTATCAGCTGGTCCATCAAACCTAAATATACCTCAATACACTCTTATAATTAAGAAGTTGTAATCTTCAGAAGAAAAACATAATTGTAATGGGGGTTATAATATATCATGTTGTAGTTACCAGTTAATACGCATTAATAATATTGCATGTTGGTGTGAATCACCAAATAACAGAAATTAATAATATAATGTTACATCCTAGTTGACCCAGATAATGTGAGTGTTATGAAAGAATTGTTTATTCTCCCATTTACAATTCCCCCATTATGGGCATTATCATATCCACGATGTAATAACACTATATTTCATGGACAGAACAGAAGGGCAAAAAGGAAAATGAATGACAAACATGCTTTATCTGCAAAGAGAGTTTTGTACCACTAGGTTGTACACAAAATTATTTTTATCACTTTAAACATTATTTTATTTTTAGTGGATACTCATATTTGAGTAGATGCTTCGTTTATTTTATTAAATTGTATATTTATTTATTTTTGTCTACAAGCCCGAATGTTTGAGATATCCTATTAAAGTAAAAATTTATGCTTTCTAGAAGGATTTGAACCTGCATCCCACTGAGCAGAAGCAGCTTATCATTAAATCCAATATGCTCTGACCAACTTAGCTACAAAGAACTAATTAGTCAGGCAAGGCCCGAACTTCTCTCGTAATAGATCTCTCAAAGTTTTCACATCTACACAGTTTTGTATCCAAATGTAAACAAAGAAAATTTTAGAATGGATTTTTTATTAATCTGACAGATCTTTATCACTTTAAATGTTATTTTTAGTGGATACTCGTTTTTGTGTAGACACTTTGTTTATTTTACTAAAGAGTATATTTATTTAATTCCATTTACTGTCATGAATGTTCAAGAAATCCTATTAAAGCAAAAATTTTTGTGTCACTGAATGAGGTTGCTGTAAGGGTGTAAAAGGAGTAAGAACTGCATATTATGAGGATATGTAGGATAGATAACTGTTGACCCTAGACTTGAAGAGGTTAAATCATATTGATCAGGGAATTATTCATTATTTTCAACTACCATCTTGAATATTCAAAAAATTCTGTCAAAAATAAATTATGCTCTACTTTGAATGGCTCTTAGGCCTTGTATTTGGTGAATAATAGTACAAAAAAGAAAAATGATATCTATTTTCATATTGCAAAGAAATCAGTAATAAGGTTAACTAAATTCTTCTCCCCTCACCTTGAAAGGGACACCATCGGGATATTTGGCCTGAAGTTCAGAAGGGAAATAACCTTCCATGATATCGTACAAGCAGTGCCGGGTCATGGGATCAGTCAGAGGGCGAAATGGACCATCAAACATAAGTATGCCATTTTTGTAGAGTGTCAGTTGCACTGGGTCCGGATACTGAAAAGAAAATGTTTAAAGACAATGACAATCTTCATGCAACAGTTGACACATGTGAAATGAGGACATAAAATTGGACATAAGGGGAAAAACAAGCAAGAAATTAGTGATGTCCAAATCAAACAAGTATATAAGTTTAAATATCTGTGTCATAAAGTTTGTATAATGCTCGTAGTTGCCAGTTAGTAATACTTTGAGGAAAACACTGGAAACAAAAGTTTGAGTGACGAAAGAATGGATCGAGAATATTGTATAGTTCAGTACGACCGAAAGCGCTATTCTGTTGCCTTCTTCAGATGTCTGTCAAGCATAGTAACCGTCATGGAAATTTAGAATTGAATCCTTTATTTAATCCACAGGAGTAGATTGTTCTCATTCTGATGTCCATGTAAAGAAGAGTTTCTTAACCTTTTTACCCTTGTGGAACCCTTCAAATAGTATTCAGTTGATCGTGGTTCCACGAGAAACAGGGATAAATAGGCTGATGCATATAATGCACATGTGCCCCAACAGTGGGTTGTAAGATGCATTCATGCATGCAATCCTTGCTAACAATGCTATCCAATGATGATCTACGAGTCAAGGGCTGATACTGTGAATTCACTTGAACTCATTCTGTCACTTCCTTGTGCTGCTCCAGAAAGTACCTGTTTCCTTTTGTAAAGAGAGAGAGCATAGCAAGACTCTTTCTTTTATATTTTTGATCATAGTTCATATGTGTTGTAGAGAAGTTTCACAGTGGAGGCTTGTATTTCACTAAGTCGGTCCTAAAATAGGTTCGACGTACAAAACGTTAGGAACTTGATATAATAGTTAATGACACAGTAATCTAGTTGTGGTGGCGGATACTTTAATATCCGACATCGACTGACCAACTTACTGAGTGACTGCGACTGCTACTACTCCTACTTATTATTGGTGGGAGAGTCTATTAACTACAGAATAGGTGTTTTTCCACTATAACAATATGGTAAACATAATATATGGACATTTGTCCTGTACTCAAGTGAGACACTCAATGATACACAAATCCACCACATACAGGTCAGACAGTCAGTTAAGTGCCATATGTGATACACACTTCGACAATCATGTATCTTTCGCTACATGACTGACGAGGCAGATTTTTTCCCACAGTAGGTTGCCATTTCTTTATGAGGTAGACTAGTCACCTACTAAGTTTAAAGAACTTCAGCTATTCAACCCATAGCTGGGGGGGAAAAAGATAGATCCATATCTTTCCCAAGTTTATTTATGTATAAGTGAATCTAATAAACCTGACTGGAATTTGAACTTGGATCTCCAAGTACACACTTTGAGCTGATAACCATTACACCACAATGCTCATACAGATACCGTCCACTAATCAGTAAAGACAGTTTCACATTGACACCTTATAGACATCACTAAATACATTCCCTATGATTTTATAATTTTAAATAGGATAAAAGCCTGAAGCTTTTATTATATTAATCAATGATTTTCCAACAATATGACATACATGTATAGTAAAATTACGAATATAAAATTAAACAAAAATTACTCAAAAATGCATTAGCCTATTTAACAATGTTTCTCATGGAATCCCTAGCAAGCTCTTATAGAACCCTAGGGTTCCAGGGATCACTGGTTGAGAAACACGACTCTAATGGGTTATTCACTCATGACGTAACATCAGAGTGAAAATCTGTGATGTCACATCATGATTGAATATATATAAATATATATATATATAAATTATATTTTTATTATAGTTCATGTGGTAAACATAATATATGGCCACTGTGCATGCAACCAGTGCTCTGGCAAGTTACTCAGAGATACACAAATCTGCCCGATACAGGTCCTGTCCACTAAGCAGTGAAGGTGGTTTCACACTGATGCTATATAGACATTGCTAAATACATTCCTAATGATTATTATAATTTTAAATCATATAAAAGTTTGAAGCCTTTAATATAATAAATGATGATTTTTCAACAATATAGTACAGTAGAATTACGAATATAAAATTAATCAAAAATAACTCAAAAAAGCATTAGCCAATTTATCATGGTTTTTTGGTGGAACTCTTATGATATCTTGCAGGACCTTCGGTTTGAGAAAGACTGATCTAGGAAGAGTTTATACAGACAACAGAAAATATGACACTGAAATCTGAAGGCATACTGCAATAGCAAAAGTTGCCTTCTAAAAGCTAAGCACAGTATTAAGAAACAGGAAAATTTCATTAGAAAAAAAGAAAAGAGTACTGGACTGTTATATAATATCAGTTGTCCTATATGGCAGAGAACTATGCCTTCCAAAAGTTAAGCACAGTATTAAGAAACAGGAAAATTTCGTTAGAAAAAAAAAGAAAAGATTACTGGACTGTTATATAATATCGGTCGTCCTATATGGCAGTGAAAGATGCCTTCCAAAATTACGCACAGTATTAAGAAACAGCAAAATTTCATTAGAAAAAAAAAAGAAAAGAGTACTGGGCTGTTATATAATATCAGTCGTCCTATATGGCAGGAAATTATGCCTTCCAAAAGCTAAGCAAGGTATTAAGAAACAGGAAAATTTCATTTGAAATATTACTGTATTTACTTGCGTAACACATGATCTCAGATATCATGCGACCCAGCAAATTTTCACTTATAAAAAACAATTTTATCATGCATCTTGTGTATCATGCAAGTTTTTTGAGAGACCAGATTATAATAGATTAACCTCTTTTTCTCTATCTCTTTATCCTATCTTCTAGTTAAATAAGTTAAAAAAGTAAAAGAGAATGATAAAAGTATTGTTAGTAATTCTATACTCATTGCATAAACACGTACAGCTGTAAACAACTGAACGAGAAACAGATAAACATCTTATAAATGTAAACAAAAAAGATGCATATTCGCTGTTTGTATTTTATAATACGATACTAATAGGTGAATATTACATGCATTATTATTAGATACAGTTAAGTAAAATGTAAGTTTTATCAAAAGTATGTTTATTTTAAATACAGCTGTACTTTTTGACTACAGTAAATAGATATATAGTTTGGTCAGCGGTGTAACCAGTGCCAGCAGTATATATGCTAATTTTATATCTTATGTATGACCAAATTTTCAAGATAATTTTAAGGGAGTCCATCCCTTAAAATTATCTTGAAAATTTGGTCTTCAAAAGTCACATAATACACAAGTATATATGGTATCTTGTAAATTCTCCTGTAACTTTTTATTAAAAGTTTTTGTAGATTAGTGTTCTTTAGAGATTTTAAGACCCCAACAAAAAAAAAAAATTGATCTGCTATCAATTTAGAAGTAGGCTCCTGCATATAATTTTGATACAGTCTCAAATCAATGCCAGAATTTTACAGTGTTTTTGGCCTTAGGCTAAACCTATTATTTACAAATCTCAAGTTTGAAACTGTTAATGTCAGTGACATCTGTATATTTTTACATTTTCTGAATTTTTAACCGTTTTTTTTAAGTATCATTTTTAAATATCTTTTTAAATACTTTTTTTTTATGGGATTTATTTTGGTAGCGCATACAAAGACATTTGAGGTTCATAATTATTTATCTTAAATTAAGAATTAAAGGATACATAATTTTCACAATTTATTTAAAAATTTATATATCCATTTGTTCATTATTTCAGAGAAAACTTTCTGCAACACCACTTCAAGCAAAACTAAGGCCAAAAGCTCTGTAAAAGTCAGGGATCGATTTGACATTATACTGATATTATAAAAAGGACCCTCCTACTAAAATGACAACAAATCAATATTTTTTTATTCTGACAAGTGTCAAAGGAAGGTCTAAAATATGCTAATCTACAAAAATTGTTTCCCCAAAGATTATTTTTTTTATTGATTGACTTCTTTTCTATGGCTTATCAACCCTTTGCAAGTTATTTAAAGCCAGAAAATGTTTTTAGATTTTAAGAATATTTTTATTTTGGAGATGATAATGATTTAGTGATAAAGACCTTATTAATTAACTCATAGCTGGGGGAGAAGAAGTGGATTCATACCCTCCCCAATGGTATTTGCCTGTAAGTGAATATAACAAAACCAACTGTAATTGGAACTCGGTTCTCCGATTAACAATTCCGAGCCATTATCCATTACACCACCCACGCATCCAAGCTTACAGCACCTGGTATTCACAACTGGTCACCCATCTAAGTACTGACCAGGCCCAATGTCACTTAACAGAAAACAGTGCTATATAGCTGTAAGCCCTATATTTCAATGTCATGTAGCTGTAAGCTGGTTTTATTGCATCTGAACAGTGAATTGTAGATGAAATTGAAGTCTGTTTCTGTTAAATCATGAGGCACCCAAACATTAGCAGCAGTTATATAGTGCTTTGAGATATCTTACAACACTCATATAAGATGGGTGGAATACATCTGTAATGTTCTACGTTATGTCATTTTAAAACATTTCAATTTGGTTCACACCACCAAAACATCACCTGTACTTCCCAAGCAGTCACCATTCTAGGTACTGAGCAGGCTTGATGTTGCTTAACTTTGGTGATTGTATGAGAACCAGTGTTTCAAAGTGAAATGGCCATAAGCTCTTTATACCACCTGCACATCCAAGCTCACAGCATCTGGTTTTTCTAAGAAGTCATCCATCTAGGTACTGACTGGGCTCAATGTTGCTTAACTTTGGTGATTATACAAAACCCAGTAAGCCCTTTATATCACCCACACATTCAAGCTTACAGCACCTTGTTATTCTCAAGCAATTACCCATCTTGGTGCTGAGCAGGCTCAATGTTTCTTAACTTTGATGAGCATACAGGAACCAATGTTTCAATGATACAGCCATAAGCCCTTTATACCACTTGCACTTCCAACTTATAGCAGCTGGTATTCCCAAACAGTCACTCATCTATGTATTGACAAAGCTCAATGTTGCTTAACTTTAGTTATTGTACAGAAACTGATGTTCCAAATTGATATATCCGTAAACACTTTATACCACCCACACATCCATGCTTACAGCACCCATCTATGTACTGACCAAGTTCAACATTGCTTAACTTTGGTGATCATATGGGAACCACTGTTTTAGCAGGAGGCGAACATAAGCTCTTTGTTCTTTATTATTATCTTTATTCCACCTGCACATCCAAGCTTATGGCACCTGGTTTTTCTAAGCAGTCACCTATGTAGTAACTGACCAGGTTCAATGTTGCTTTAACTTTGGTGATCATATAAGAACCACTGTTTTAGCAAGAGGCGACCATAAGCTCTTTTGTTCTTTATTATTATCTTTGTTCCACCTGCACATCTTGGCACCTGGTTTTTCTAAGCAGTCACCTATGTAGTAACACCAGGTTCAATGTTGCTTAACTTTGGTGATCACCTTTAGGAGGCGACCATAAGCTTTATTATCTTTATTCCACCTGCACATCCAAGCTTATGGCACCTGGTTTTTCTAAGCAGTCACCTATGTAGTAACTGACCAGGTTCAATGTTGCTTAACTTTGGTGATCATATGGGAACCACTGTTTTAGCAAGAGGCGACCATAAGCTCTTTGTTCTTTATTATTATCTTTATTCCACCTGCACATCCAAGCTTATGGCACCTGGTTTTTCTAAGCAGTCACCTATGTAGTAACTGACCAGGTTCAATGTTGCTTAACTTTGGTGATCATATGGGAACCACTGTTTTAGCAAGAGGCAACCATAAGCTCTTTGTTCTTTATTATTATCTTTATTCCAACATCCAACTTATGGCACCTGGTTTTCCCAAGCAGTCACCTTATCTATAACTGACCAGGTTCAATGTTGTTAACTTTGGTGATCATATGGGAACCACTGTTTTAGCAAGAGGCAAACATAAGCTTTTGTTCTTTATTATTATCTTTATTCCACCTGTCCAAGCTTATTGGTTTTTCTAAGCAGTCACCTATGTAAACTGACCAGGTTCAATGTTTTTGGTGATCATAAGGGAACCACTGTTTTAGCAAGAGGCGACCATAAGCTCTGTTCTTTATTATTATCTTTATTCCATCATTATGGCACCTGGTTTTTCCTAACCACTTAACTTTTGGTGATCAAACCCATAAGCTCTTTGTTCTTTATTATTATCTTTATTCCACCTGCACATCCACTGGCACCTGGTTTTTATGTTGTACTGACCAGGTTCAATGTTGCTTAACTTTTAGTGATCATATGCTTTTATCAAGAGGCGACCATAAGCCTGGTTTTTATTATTATCTTTATTCCACCTGCAGTTATGGCACCTGGTTTTCTAAGCAGTCACCTATGTAGTAACCCAGGTTCAATGTTGCTTAACTTTGGTGATCATATGGGAACCACTGTTTTAGCAAGAGGCGACCATAAGCTCTTTGTTCTTTATTATTATCTTTATTCCACCTGCACATCCAAGCTTATGGCACCTGGTTTTCTAAGCAGTCACCTATGTAGTAACTGACCAGGTTCAATGTTGCTTAACTTTTTTGTGATCATATGGGAACCACTGTTTTATGAGGCGACCATAAGCTCTTTGTTCTTTATTATTATCTTTATTCCACCTGCACATCCAAGCTTATGGCACCTGGTTTTTCTAAGCAGTCACCTATGTAGTAACTGACCAGGTTCAATGTTGCTTAACTTTGGTGATCATATAAACCACTGTTTTAGCAAGAGGTTACCATAAGCTCTTGTTCTTTATTATTATCTTTATTCCACCTGCACATCCAAGCTTATGGCACCTGGTTTTTCTAAGCAGTCACCTATGTAGTAACAGACCAGGTTCAATGTTGCCTTTGGTGATCATATGGGAACCACTGTTTTAGCAAGAGGCGACCATAAGCTCTTTGTTCTTTATTATTATCTTTATTCCACCTGCACATCCAAGCTTATGGCACCTGGTTTTTCTAAGCAGTCACCTATGTAGTAACTGACCAGGTTCATAACTTTGGTGATCATATGGGAACCACTGTTTTAGCAAGAGGCAACCATAAGCTCTTTGTTCTTTATTATTATCTTTATTCCACCTGCACATCCAAGCTTATGGCACCTGGTTTTTCTAAGCAGTCACCTTATTAGGTTCAATGTTGCTTAACTTTGGTGATCATATGGGAACCACTGTTTTAGCAAGAGGCGACCATAAGCTCAATTATCTTTATTCCACCTGCACATCCAAGCTTATGGCACCTGGTTTTTCTAAGCAGTCACCTATGTAGTAACTGACCAGGTTCAATGTTGCTTAACTTTGGTGATCATATGGGAACCACTGTTTTAGCAAGAGGCAACCATAAGCTCTTTGTTCTTTATTATTATCTTTATTCCACCTGCACATCCAAGCTTATGGCACCTGGTTTTTCTAAGCAGTCACCTATGTAGTAACTGACCAGGTTCAATGTTGCTTAACTTTGGTGATCATATGGGAACCACTGTTTTAGCAAGAGGCAACCATAAGCTCTTTGTTCTTTATTATTATCTTTTATTCCACCTGCACATCCAAGCTTATGGCACCTTTTTTCTAAGCAGTCACCTATGTAGTAACTGACCAGGTTCAATGTTGTTAACTTTCATATGGGAACCACTGTTTTAGCAAGAGGCAACCATAAGCTCTTTGTTCTTTATTATTATCTTTATTCCACCTGCACATCCACCACCTGGTTTTTCTAAGTATGTAGTAACTGACCAGGTTCAATGTTGCTTAACTTTGGTGATCATATGGGAACCACTGTTTTTAGCAAGAGACCATAAGCTCTTTTGTTTTTATTATTATCTTTATTCCACAAGAGGCACCTGGTTTTTCTACCAGTAAGTAACTTCAATTTGTTCTTTATTGTTTTAGCAAGAGGCAACCATAAGCTTTTTGTTCTTTATTATTATCTTTATTCCACCTGCACATCCAAGCTTATGGCACCTGGTTTTTCTAAGCAGTCACCTATGTAGTAACTGACCAGGTTCAATGTTGCTTAACTTTGGTGATCATATGGGAACCACTGTTTTAGCAAGAGTGACCATAAGCTTTTGTTCTTTATTATTATCTTTATTCCACCTTGATGGCACCTGGTTTTTCTAAGCATGTAGTAACTGACCAGGTTCAATGTTGTTTAACTTTGGTGATCATCTTTTGCAAGAGGCGACCATAAGCTCTTTTGTTCTTTTTTATTATTATCTTTATTCCACCTGCACATCAAGCTTATCCTGGTTTTTCTAAGCAGTCACCTATAGGACCAGGTTCAATGTTGGTTTTGATCATATAGGAACCACTGTTTTTAGCATTATCACCTGCTTATGGCACCTGGTTTTTCTAAGCAGTCACCTGTAGTAACTGACCAGGTTCAATGTTGCTTAACTTTGGTGATCATATGGGGAACCACTGTTTTAGCAAGAGGCAACCATAAGCTCTTTGTTCTTTATTATTATCTTTATTCCACCTGCACATCCAAGCTTATGGCACCTGGTTTTCTTAAGCAGTCACCTATGTAGTAACTGACCAGGTTCAATGTTGCTTTTGGTGATCATATGGGAACCACTGTTTTAGCAAGAGGCAACCATAAGTCTTTGTTCTTTATTATTATCTTTATTCCACCTGCACATCCAAGCTTTATGGCACCTGGTTTTTCTAAGCAGTCACCTATGTAGTAACTGACCAGGTTCAATGTTGCTTAACTTTTTCATATGGGAACCACTGTTTTTGTACGACCATAAGCTCTTTGTTCTTTATTATTATCTTTATTCCACCTGCACATCCAAGCTTATGGCACCTGGTTTTTCTTCACCTATGTAGTAACTGACCAGGTTCAATGTTGCTTTGGTGATCATATGGGAACCACTGTTTTAGCAAGAGGCCATAAGCTCTTTGTTCTTTATTATTATCTTTATTCCACCTGCACATCCATTATGGCACCTGGTTTTTCTAAGCAGTCACCTATGTAGTAACTGACCAGGTTCAATGTTGCTTAACTTTGGTGATCATATGGGAACCACTGTTTTTAGCAAGAGGCGACCATGGCTTTATTCCACCTGCACATCCAAGTTATGGCACCTGGTTTTCTAAGCAGTCACCTATGTAGTAACCCAGGTTCAATGTCTATGGTGTTTTTTTTTGCAAGAGGCGACCATAAGCTCTTTGTTCTTTATTATTATCTTTATTCCACCTGCATCCAAGCTTATGGCACCTGGTTTTTCTAAGCAGTCACCTATGTAGTAACTGACCAGGTTCAATATTGCTTAATCATATGGGAACCACTGTTTTAGCAAGAGGTGACCATAAGCTGTTTTTATTTTATCTTTATTCCACCTGCATTTATGGCACCTGGTTTTTTCTAAAGTCACCTATGTAGTAACTGACCAGGTTCAATGTTGCTTAACTTTGTTCATACAGGAACTGATGTTTCAGTGTGATATGGCTGCCAGCCCTTTATACTACCCGCACATCCAACTTATAGCAGCTGGTATTCCTAAGCAGTCACACATCTAGGTACTGACAAGACTGAATGTTGCTTAACTTTGGTGACTGCATGGGGATCAGTGTTTGAATGTGATTTTTCATAAGCCCTAAAGATTGTTATTTTATTTTTTATGAGTGAACCAGCTAA